ATTATATCTTTTAAAAAAATTATAACTTTGTACCAATCATGTAGAATCACAACATTATAAAGATAAAAGAACAAAAAAAAAATTAAAAAAAATAAAAAAAAATTAAAAAAATATATATATATTATTTTATAAGAAATTATTTTAAAGGGCTAGAGATTGCTACAAAAATTTAACTAAAATCATTCCTAAAGCTAGATAAACTTTTATTTAAAAATCTAGTAGATATTTAAAGAAAGTATTATCATTTTACTTTTTGTAAAAAAAAAAGATAAAAAAAAGTGGTCTCAATTTATTCTGAAAAAGTATGCTTTATAGATAAAAAATAGAAAAAGTTTTGTCTACGAAATTTTTCACGTGACTGAAATGCTTACTGACAGTATCTTCTGCTACTATTGTGTTATTTTTCTTGCAACCAGCATTCAAGAAGTTTATGAATGTTGAAAAACTGTTTTTAAATATATTAATAAGACGGATCTATCCAAAGATCCTAAGGTTTTAGAATTTGATTTCCATGGAGATTTCAATCGAAACCAAATAGAAAGTGCTTGAGCAACCGTGGCGCAGTGGTTAGAGTTCTGGTTAAGAACCCGGAGGTCCGAGGTTCGAACCTAACAAGCAACATTGGTACGGAAGTAGGAGTAAATTTCTTGTTAAACGCTCCCTTGCGGTGCTCTGTGATAAGACCGTAAGGACTTCTGAAAGCGCCTAAAATAACTACTGAGCTTCATCTCATACCAACTATTATATATTAAAAAAATTGCCCAATGATCCAGAATATTTGGATCATTATTCAAATTGTGTTAAGAAGTGGAGCTACATCAGCCACACCAGAACAATCTTTTCAATGCAGGGTCAAAACGTCGCTCAGATCAACAATGGCTCAAAAAAGATATAACTCCTTGTTAGTGCTAAATACGCACGTTGATATTGTTGATAGTCTATCTTTAATAGAAGTAGCCGAGCAATTTACTGCTGCACAGGATAACCACAGGAGTGAGCTTGGACCATTTACTATAAAAGACCTTTGTTAGATTTTCATCGCAATTTTTTCAGTATTTGAAGAAAATTTTTGAACAAAATTTTTTTTTTCAAAATTAAAGCAACAATAGTTTTTTGATCCCCAAAAAACATTTGAATCAGGATAAATATTTTACTTTAGCACTCCTCCCCCTAATTTTATTGCGCACAGTGGCCGATGAAACCATGATTTTTTTATTCTTTCATATATTTCCATAGTTTTCTTTCATATAATTCTTAGGAATATTTATTTACTATTTCTTTTTAGCTACCTTTAAGTAGTTATGCTGTTATGGGGTCTTGTAATAATGATTTTTTTTTTCTTCAGTTTTTTAGCGTATTTAGTTTTACTTATTTTTTTTTTTTTAGTCATTTATAGTTTTATTGTTTAGTTATTATTTATTTTTTAATAGTGATATATAGGTTTTATTTACAGTTATATATTATTTGTTTTTATTCTTATTTTAGCCATTTATTACATATGTTTTAACCTTCCATCTTAGTTGTTACGTTTTGTCAGTATATGACTGTTTGTAACTGTAACTTTGTATATATAAACAATTGTTGTATAATAATAATAAAGTATAGCTGTAACCAGGGCCGTAGACAGCCAAGCCGGGCCTTGGGGTAAATTTTTTGGCGGGCCTCCTTTATTTTACATTAATATTCATATCCATATTGAAAACATCAAACTTAAAGTCTATGACGTGTCTTTAGTCTAACTTAAATCAAAATCAATCTTAAAGTCTAGGACTAGATATGTCTTTAATTAGTTAGGTTGGTCAACGAATCCTTTCATTTTTTTTAACAAGTTGCATTTGTTAAAATTTTTTTTTTTTTAGATTATTCACCTTCCCAAGGCCTAGGGGTCACTATAGTCGAGGAGGCTACTCATTTTTTTGTGTTTTTATTTTTTGTTGTTAATTGTGGTACAACCCTCTATTAACTCTTTAACTCAGAAACACGAACTTTGGCAAGCAAGGCCGCTGCGCGGAGTAACTAAGTTTATTTAGCAAAAAATTTTGTAATAAAAAGCTTTTTAATTAAGTAGCCTTTTCTTTAATATTTTTTACTATAAGTAATTAACTTGATATAATATAAAAAAGAAGAGAATGTAAATTAAAATAAAAAGTATTAATAAAGACTGTAATTTCTCTAAGTGAGTTTTATAGACAAACAAGAATATTCTTTGGTTTTCTTTTTAAAAAAAGAATATTTTGAATTCTAAGTGTTCAAAATAAATATTTGTATTTAATTGTACTGCAATTAACCAAAATAAGCTTTGCGAGATTTTTTACTTGCAAAAAGTTCGATAACTGCATCAAAGTCTAGTTTTCTTGCAAGTGGCGCCTCAATCGCTAGCCTTCCCAAATTAAAAAGTCGATCTTGACACATCGTAGAACGTAAAACATTTTTAACTCTTGCAAGCGTGCTGAAAGAGCGTTCTGCTTGTGCAACTATAACTGGAAGTATACAAAAAATTCTAAGAATAACTAAAATGTTTGGGAAAAGAGAATCAAGCTTCAACTCATGGAGTTTGTTTAATAATTGAAACGGTGATAATTGTATTATGCCAAGATTTGATACGTGAATTGCCTTTAAATGTTCAAACTCGTCTATTAAATTGAGAGAAATATCAATGCTGTATTTAACGCAAATAGATAAAGCTTTCTCACGCAGCAGATCTTTTTCTAATGTTATGTATTTCCATACAACACCAAATGTGTCCTCATGATTTTTGGCTGCCTCAAAATGGCGATTCATATTACCAATGACACAGTCACAGTTTTGTTTCAAGCGCGATGTTTTTTATGTTCTAAAAGAACATAAAAAACATCGCGCTTGAAACAAAATTCTGCACTGGTGTTATCTAATTTATTATTCTGTTCCTCATCTGAAAATCTAGCTTTTCGGCTGCGTTTTTTCTCCGGGAATATGTCATTGGAAACCATACCCAGATTTTCGGCAATAAGTTTACATTCATTTAAAATTGAATCCCAGATGTTTCTCAATAATAAGGGGTCATCAATTAAACTTTTTAAATTTAAAACCTCCACATCTAAAGTTGCATCTCTGGCTTGCAGAACTGTGTTTCTGTAATTGATGCTTGTTAGAACTTTAAACCAAGTGCTTGCGAGTATAATGCACTCAAATGAACCCAAGTATTTCTCAATACGTTTGATATCTGATCGAGTCTCGGCAGTAAGATTTAGCTTCTTAAAGTCTTAGATAGCACTCTTTAAACCAGGAATATGTTCTGCAAAAGGTTTTACACTTTCAATCCTGGCTGACCAACGTATATCTGACATGCTATACAAAGAGCATCCAATGTTTTCTTTTAAAATTTGCCATCTTTGCGGGCTAGAGCTGAACAAGTTATAAATCTTTTGCACAACACTGAAGAAGTTTATAACCTCTGCACAGCACTCTGAGGCATGGACACCACACAGATTTAAGCTATGACAACCACATGGAGAATAAATTGCCAATTGGTTCTCTTTAATTATCTCTGTTTGTGCTCCTTTATATTGACCGCTCATGTTACTACCGTTGTCATAACCTTGACCACGACAGTCTATCATTGGTATATTGTGTTTTTTAATAACACTGCAAATTAATTCAGCAATAGCTTTCCCCGTTTTCTGATTGCAGTCAACAAACTCTAGAAATCACTCTTGAACTTCGTAGAGACTATTTTCTTCATTTAAATAAACATAACGCAATATAAATACAGTTTGTTCCATATGTGCTGAATCAGGGGTTGCATCAACAAGTATTGAGTAATATTTTGCTGCTTCTCGTTCACTTAGAATAACGTCTAATACTTTTTTGGCACAACACTCTATTTACTCATTTTGTATTTCAGGTGAAAGGTAATTTGCTTGTTGTCTTCTCTTCAATTTCTGCGACTTTATCACTTTGTTCAGATGGTCTTTCAAGACAGAATCATAATGGTTCAAGAGCTCTGAAATGCCCAAAAAATTTGCTACAACTCCAACTAAATTACTTGTTCTTCTAAAACCCAAACCTCGTTCGGCTAGAAACAATGTGACATCTAAAATTTGGCGAAGAACCTGTTTCCACTGTGATGCTTGCTTCTTAATGGTCTGCAGCACCATAATATCGACAGTGGAATTAGAGTCAATACTTTTTTTCAATAGTCGCCATTTAATATAACAATATTTATGGTTGCTGCTGTTTTGATGCTCTGGAATTTTGTCATGTAATTTTTTCCATTTTCTTTGAAAACAATACCTAGATATAGTTGTTAAACGTGAGCGACTTGCTGTTGGTAGTTGGTAGGCGACAAGGAAAACAAAATATCGATTGTTTAACTTTGCTCCAAACAAGCCAATCACGGGGAACATATTCTCCATTTTTCATACTTGTATGTAGTATACAAACAGGAAATGAATGTCCGTTCAAATCTTTTAGAAATTGGATGGGATCTTTTCTGGACCCCTACGAACTGCTTCCTCAATTTCAGAAGCATTTGGTCTTTCATTTTTTAGACTACCAACATCAAAGTCAAGCAGTTTTGTTTTAGTAATTTTATTATCAGTTATATTTGATTTATAATTCTCAGAGATATTGTTGATAGGAACTAAAAGATTGCCGGGCTCCACGTCATCTTTATTTTCTATGTTATCAGGATCTGGAAAGTCGGCAGTCACATTAATTAAATCTGCAGCTTGTTTAACAACGTTGTCGTTATTGTTAAAATTAGCTTCTACATTATGATATTCATTTTCTAAATCTTTCTCTTTCGAAGACACTGAAAATCCATAACATTGAAGTAGAGTTTGTTTTTCATTTACATTTTTCAATCTTGATAATTTTTCTTTCCTTTTTTGAGATCCAGATTTGTGATGGTAGTTCATTTTTTATTTGACTACTAAATAAGATTTTATATAAATTGGCATTAATTATCATTCCGGTAAATAAAACATTCTCTATATGATAAAATATACCATATCAAAGATATGTCATTGATATATCGATGGTATGTATTATAAAGCAATATGTGCAACAAACACTCCTAAACATTAGCGTAGTGAGGGGAGACCAAAGCGGAAATGGCCCCTGTCGCGAAGGCTTTAAGAGGCCCAAAAAATTGAGGAGCAAAAAAAAATGAAACTAATTTTAACATAAAATGTAATAATTTCTTAATTTTATTGTAAAAAAGCGCATTTATTTTATTTTTACCCCGGTCGCAAAAATATTCGCTATGTCACTGATCTTAAGCGCCATATAATTTATTAAATAAAGCAATTTTTATAATGGACCTTTCCCATAAATCGGCAAAAATGCAATGCATTGTGATAGTTGTATTCATTTAAATCAAAACAAATGTCAAAAAAACTAATAAATTTTAACAGTGATGTTTAATTATGTGAAAACAGTGAGATTAAACTTTGTGAAAAGAGTGAAATTGAACTTTATGAAAACAGTGAAGATGATAGTGAAATTACTGAAGGTGAACTCACTTTTAACGGAGATGTTGAACCTTGTGAAAACAGTGAACAAAATTCGATCTCACTGAGGGAAGTTGAACTCACTTTTAACAGTGAAGTTGACTTCAGTTCAAAAAGTGGTGGATGTACTTGTTGTGTACCAAACTGTTTTAATAATTCTAAGCGTAATAAAAACTTATCGTTTTATGTTATACCCAAGGAAAAAGTGTTAAGAAAGTTATGGTTCGCCAAAATTAGCAGAAAAGACTTCACTCCTTCTTCATACAGAGTTTGTTCAGCACACTTTCAAGGGAACAAAAAAACGTATATGAATAATGTTCCAACAATAATTCCAAAAACAGTTAAACTAACTGCTCATGTACCAAAGAAAACCAAAAATAGCCTTGGTTTATTACATAAAACAACACAAATACCTTATAGTGAAGAACTGTCGACACCTGTTTTAAGCTACAAAGAAAAATTAAAACAAGAAAATAAAATTCTTAAAGATCAAATTGAGGACATTATAAAAGAAAAACAAGCGTTAGTAAACACTCAAAAAGAAGCTATATGTAAGCTCAATGACAAAATACTTCTATCACAATTTACAGTTAAAAGGTTTAAACATTTTAAAGAACATTTCAAATTTTACACAGGTTTTGAAAATTTTGAACTATTTAAAGTGGTCATGAAGTTTTTAGAACCAGAAATATATTCACTAAATTATTGGGATTCAATGTCTACTATTGCTGACAATTTATCTGAAACTTCTTCATCTAAAACAAGAGGAAGATCACGTATATTAAATGTTGAAGAGGAATTTTTTATGGTGCTAATTCGACTACGTTGCGCCTTTCCTATAGAAGATTTAGCAATACGGTTTAATATTTCATTGAGCACTACCAGTAGGATATTAATTACTTGGTATGATTTTTTGCACATAAAATTTAGATCAATTTTAATATGGCCAAAAAAAAACTAGTTAATGAAACAATGCCTAGTTGCTTTAAAGATGTATACCCTAATACTTGTGTAATTATAGACTATACAGAAATATTTACTGTGATGCCAACTAGCTATCGCACTCAATCAGCAATGTTCTCAAAATATAAACATCTTCACACAGCTAAGGGTTTGATTGGTATGCACTGAGTGGTGCCATTACATTTGTTTATGATTTATATGCAGGAAGATCAAGCGATAAACAGATAACAAATCACTGTGGCATACTAAAACTATTAGAAAAAGGTGATAGCCTGATGGCAGATAGAGGTTTCGATATCGTAAATGACTTACCAAAAGGAATAAGTCTCAACATACCACCATTTCTTGAAGGCGATTTTCAACTTACTTTGGAAAAAGAATTAGAAACAAGAAGAATCGCATCTGTGCGAATTCATGTGGAACGTGCAATTGCAAGAATCAAAAACTACAAAATATTACAAAACGCATTTCCACTTACAATGGCTGCTGACATGAACAAAATATGGGTCATAGTTTGTTATTTAGTTACTTTTCTACCACCTCTAATAAAAACTGATAGCAAATAATGTAACCAGACAAAAAAAGAAACATTTTATAAATATTGTGTAAATGTTTATTTTACTTTAAATATTTCTGTTGACATAAATTTGAAATAAAAATCTGTTAACTCTGGAAAAATAATTGTATTCCATAATTCCGCATCATACTCATGCATCGTTTCGATGTGCAATGACTTTTCTGTGTATACAATAAAATCAATTTTTTTAGTTTCTGTTAGTGCCATAATGCCTTGACACTGATAGTAATAAGGATGGTTTATTTTTAATTTTGGAGCACCATCGTTAAATTTCAAATAAAAGTTTTTATCTTGACACGCTTCTTCAATTGTTAAATGTTTTTTTGAAGAAGGATATTTCACTTCAAGTACTTTTTCAGCGCTAACTACTCCATCAGGGCTACAACCCAACCAAGGGCATTTTGGGTTTATAAAAAAACCACATCGAGTAACACTTGACTTCATTATGCTTTCATATAGTTTTATTGCTATATCTTCATTAACCTTTCCCCATATACAGCTTTCTCCTACTTTGATATTTTTAGTTTGTAAAAATTTTTTTTAAATTGATGTTGGGTAAATTTTTTTTCCACCTATTCATTACAGTACCAAAATTTGAAGCTGTCAATCGTTTGCATACCATAATATACTTTTAGATTGTTTAACTGTATTGACTTCAATATTTTTAGCTTCCTCAATGTCAACAATTAAATGCAATTCTACAAATGCTTTTTGTTTAATAGACAAACAACTTAAATCAATCATATTTTGTAAATTGTCAAATAGAGTAATAATAATCAATCTGTCATCTTTTTTACTAAAAGGTTCTGCAATATCATTGTCTATAAATGTTGACAGAGATGAATTAAAAAAGGAACATGCCTGAAAGTTATTATCACGAATTATTGAAGATATATATGTCCCCTGGCAGAGATTTTCTAAACCTTCACAAAGAGTTTGAAGTTGTAAAGTTGAGGTTTCGTAACAATTTGGTAATGAATGGTATCTACATGTTCCTGAAACTAAAGGTCTTTTTCGAGTACTATTTTTGTCTTTAAAAGCATCAGCTTTTTCAAAATTTAAGTTTGAAAACAAAATTGCTTCAGAGTTGAATGATTCATCTGGTACATGCCATATCTGTAAAACATCAGTACATGTTTCGGTTTCTGGGACCACTTTAATGTCTAACTCTTTATAGTCAACTAGTTGAGATAATGATGCAGCAACATGCTTACAACAGCCCCCGCTCCAGCTTTACAATGGCATTTAGCATAAAGTATTTCACCAGTAGATTGGCACAAGTGTATAAAAACTTCGTATTGTTTACGTTTCATAGAAGCAGCAACATTAGACTTTACAATAAACAAATTTATGGATGCTGTTACATTTGCTTTAACACACACATTTTTGACATAGTTTTCTTTAAATAAACGATAGCCAAGAGTTTGGTGTTTATTGGCTCCTTTTTTACAATTATCAATATATATAGTATCATCAACAAGATATTTCTTGATAAAATTGTGAGATATATTTGGTAAAAGTGAAATGTCTCTTGACCAAGTTGATATACTCTTGTTTGTAGATTCTTCTTCGTCAACAGAAATAAGTTCATCATGCTTAAGTTCCCGATACACAGCTTTAGATGCTGGCAAGAGTTCTGAAAAGAACTAGCATCAATTTTATTTTCTAGATTAGCATTAAAAGAACTCATCATTATAATAATATTTAATTCCTAATAATTTAATCGGATTGTTTTGATTTAAATGAATACAACTACCACAATGCATTGCGCATTAGCTTTATGGGAAAGGTCCATTGAATGTTTTAAACCTAATAACAAAACTCCATATACAACTGATTAAACTTTAACATAAAAATAAACTAAACTGTAAAATCAAATAGACAATTTTCTGGCACTCTTTGTCTTTTATTTTAAAATACCGCAAGTGATTTAATGTTCTGCAAATGATCTAAAGTACTCGAATTATACAAACTAAAAATGCTTCCAAATAATGTGTTCAAAGTATATTTTTTACTACATAATTTTTTTCTTGAGATATTTTCCTTTTGATTTATTATAACGAATTACTTAGCTTATAAAATTTATTAAATTTTTATTATGTTTTGCATTTAAATTTAACGTTTACGGTGATCTAATGTTAAAAACTGTAATTAGAACAACCAATCCAAATGCAGTATATTTAAAAAAGCAAATATAATACTTTATAATTCAAGTTCCAGGACAATATACCCCTGGCCCCCCCCCCCACTCTACGACCATGGCTGTAACAACTGGTGTAAACAGTTGTGAAGTGCAATAACAGTAGATATTACACTGTAACAGCTCAGTTTGTTTTTTGCTTGTGTTTTAACCCATAGTTTTTGCAAAATTCAGATTTGTCTTGTTTATTTTTGAAGTTATTTATTGAAGTAGCTTCTATTATTTCAGATGGTAAATTGTTCCATGCATTTACAACTCGATTTTGGAAAAAGTGGTATCTGAAGGTATTTCTGTAGAAAGGTTTTTTTCAGTTTTTTCATTTGACAGAATTCTTCCGAATTTTGAATAACAATTTGTCCGCATTTACAAAATATTTATCCTATCCGCATTTACAAAAAATTTGGATAACTCTCTTTTTTATTATCAGAAATTTTTAACCAACTAGATTACTACTTTTTTTTCATTTAAAATATTTTTTTGGTATGATTTATGTTTTTGCTTGTAGGATTTGTGTTTTAATTAAGGCCGACAACACCTGGGGGTGCCAGGGAGCCACGTGCCCCCCCCCACCTTTTTTTCTCAAGGACCTTTTTTTTTAAGAAAAATCTTTATATAGAGGGCTATTTTCACAAATTGATAATGATCCCCGCCCCCGCCCCCCACTTCAAAACCCGTGTCGTCAGCCCTGTTCATAAAATTCTTCTCTGCCATGGAGAATGAGTAAATTGATACAAAAATAGGATTAATATATATGTCGGATGCCTTAAGTTACTTTATTATTTTTTATTAATATATATACCAGACGCCCTAGCCCTTTCTTATTCCAAAAACGTATGTTTATGATAATGGAAACAAGTGATAATATTTAAATTTAGTCAGTCAAATTTTAAACACCTTTTTTTTTTGGTAAAGGTGTGCAATAGACAAATACATCGTTATTGCGCAATTTCATGAAGTCTCCTTCATACTCATTTTTAAAAATGAGTATGAAGGAGATTTAAGAAAGCAGTCTCCAATTTTTATGGATTCGCTCTCCCCATTTCATTTTATTCATAGGATCGCTCCTGCAGGTAATATTAAGCATATATCATATTTTCTCCATTTAACACTTTCAATGAAAGCATAACTTACCTGAACACAAGTTTTCAATTTTTTGACCTGAACTAAAGTTTAAGTTGAGTAAAGTGAAGTTTTTTTCGCCATTTTTATACTGTTATCAGCAGGTAAGTAAAAATTATGAAACATTTTATTTGTTTCTCTTGAAACCGTTACGCTTATACACAAACTAATTATCATGGTATTAGGGTAGATTAGGGTAATATAAGCACCTTGGTAATATGAACATACTTAAAGATTTCTAAGATGTAAGCAGTGAAGTTAAAGTTGCTTTGTACTTTTTTGAATCTTTATGTGCTATTAACAGGAATCAATACAATTAGCGTAAATTTGTATGCAGTAATTAGCGGCTATTACCTAGTTAAAACGCTGCCAAATTTTTTGCGTTGTAAAAATAATATCATCACGCATGAATAAAACTGTAGCGCGAAATATTGGTGCTAAAATAATGAAATTAATTTCTTTATAAAGAAAAATATGTTAACTAAAAGTCCAATCCATTTTTGTTTGAAAAACAATGCATACAAACAAAAACACTTAGTTTTGACTTTATTTAAAGATGCCATATTTGTGTAATATGAGCATGCTCAAACTACCCAGTGTTTTTCATCAAAATTACCTAGTTTAAAGGCCTAAAAAACTAATGGTTTTAATTGCTTTTTAAATAAAAACAAAACATAGTAAAAAACTTTAATATTATATCTTGAACTTTAATATTATTTCTTGAACGAGATCACTTAAATGTAATACACTTTAACATAAGAAGCTTAAAAAAGAATTTTGAATCTTTTAGGAATAATATTGAGGAAGCTTTAAACATTTTTAACATTATATGTGTAACGGAAACTTGGTGTAGCTCCGATGAGGCAAAATCTAACTCAAACCTCCATCTTCCAGGTTTTAATAATAAATAGTTTTAAGTCATTTTTAATTACCGATATATTAAAAAAAACTACAATAGAAAAGAAATTAAACTACATAATTGGTGACATAGATTTAAACGCATTCAACTATCATGTAAATTACAAAATAAATGGGTTTTATAACGATTTATTTGAAAACGGCGCAATTCCGTTAATCAATAAACCAACAAGGGTAACTTCAAATTCTGCTTCCTTAATAGACAACATTATGACAACGGATACTTTTAATGAATCCATCAAAAAGGGTTTAATTAAAAGTGATGTTTCTGATCATTTTCCGATTTTTTTCTCAATAAATATTGACATTGAGTTCGTACCGATAACAAATCAAGTTTTCTTTAAACTATGTTTCAGTGAAGCAAATTTAATGTCGTTGAATGAACAACTATCATTACAACACTGGAAACATATAAATTTCTCATCTGAAGCAAATCTAGTTTATAACTCGTTCTTTAAAACATTTTTTGAAGTTTATGACGCAAACTTTCCTAAATACGAAGTAAGTCTTAAAAAAAAAAGTCACCATGGATCACAAAAGAACTTAGAAAATCGTCCTAAGTTAAACAAAAATTATATATAAAGTATTTAAAGTCCAAAACTGATAAAAACAAGGAGATTTATAAAACTTACGTGAAGCATTTTGAATGTCAAAGAAAAAACTTAAAAAAAAAAATACTACTCAAACTTACTAGAGAAGTTTAAAAATAACTCAAAGCGCACGTGGCAAATTTTAAATGAAATTACTGGCAACTATAAGAGTAAAACAAGCAACTTGCCAAAAGTTATTAAAAACAATGATGTTTTTTTAAATAATCCAAAAGATATAGCAAATCAGATAAATAACTATTTTATAACTGTTGGTCCAAACTTAGCTAAAAGTATTCCAATTATAACTAACTCAACAAATTATTTTACCCTTCCCATAATTTCCGTACTAAATAATTTTGAAATTTCCATGAAAGAACTTGAATGTGTTTACAAAATGCTAAAAACCAATAAAGCAAAAGGCCCGTATGGAATAAATAGTAACATTTTAATTGCATCTTATGAGAACATAAAAACTATTCTTTTCTAAGTGTTTAGTTGTTTAATAAAACAGGGGATATTTCCTGACCAACTAAAGATCGCCAAAGTTTCACCAATTTTTAAAGGAGAGGAACTATCAAATATAACTAATTATCATCCAATTTCTGTACTCTCTGGTTTTTCAAAAGTTTTTGAAAGGATTCTTTACAATAAAATATATGGTCATCTTTCTAAAAATAAAATATTAAATACCAGTCAATATGGATTTAAAAATAATAATTCCACTGAACACGCAATACTTCATTTAACTAGAAATATTGCAGATTCGTTTGAAAAATCACAATTTACTCTTGGCGTTTTCATTGATCTATCAAAAGCTTTTGATACGATAGATCATAAGATTCTTATTCAAAAACTTAAAAACTATGGAATCAGCGGAAACTTTCTAAATTTGCTAAAAAGCTATTTAAGCAATCGTAAACAGTTTGTGCAAATTGATGTATCCTCCTCTACAAATTTGCTAGATATAACATGTGGTGTTTCACAGGGGTCTATACTGGGGCCACTCCTTTTTCTCGTCTATGTTAATGATCTGCATAATGCCTCAAATTTAACGACAGTGATGTTTGCCGATGACGCTAACCTTTTTCTGTCCATTAGAGATATTGTTACACTTTTTAATGACATAAACATAGAGTTGAAATTTCAAATTGGTTTAAGACAAATAAATTATCAATTAACTTGGAAAAAACTCAATGGACTCTATTTTATCCTAAATCCAAAAAAAAACTTTCACCAAATGACATGCCTCAAATATATATTGACAATGTTCAAATAAAGCAATCAAAAGTTATACATTTCCTTGGTGTTTTCATTGATGAAAACTTAACATGGAAAAATCATATCGAAACATTATGCAATAAAGTCTCAAAAAATATTGGAGTGTTGTATAAAGCGAGAAATTTTGTAAATAGACATGCATTAATTCAACTTTATTACTCGCTAATCCAATGTCATGTAAACTATGCTAACATTGCGTGGGGTAGTGCTAATAATAGTCAATTAGAACCTCTTTATCGGCAACAGAAGCATATAGCACGTCTAATAAATTTTAAAGATTGTTATACTCATGCAAAACCTCTTTTAATAGACATGAATATTCTTAATATATATCAACTAAATGTTTTTAATGTTCTTTGCTTTATGTACAAATGTAAGATAAACTTAACCCAAATATTTTTTCAAATAAAGCCAAGAAACAAATATAAATTAAGAAATAACAATCTTATTCATCAACATTATTCGCACACAAATTTTGGAAGATCTCTTATATCATATCGCGGAGCTTTTCTGTGGAACCAAATAGTGTTAAAAAACTTTAATTTTTCTAAAAATTGTAGTTTTCTTACTTTCAAAAATAATCTGAAAAAAGTTATCTTGACAATTGATAACATCTTCGAGTTTTTTTGAATATTTTATTTAAATATTTAGTTTTATTACATATTTTGACATTTTTTAACGGTATTTTATGTTTGGTTTTGGCTTATTAAAAATCTTGTATTGTAAATATCGGTATTTTGTTTTTATTTATTTTGTATCGCATTGTTAAACGGTTTTCGGTGACAGGATCTTGCCATCCTCTTCGAGTTTCCGCGTTCTTTTTATTTATGTAAAACGATATTATACCAAATAAAATTGTAATAAGAACAAAAAAAAAAAAAAAAATATCAATTCTAAATATTTTTCTGCAATTTAAATTCAAAAAATTTGAATTTTTATTGTTCAAAGGTTTGAGTTAATAAAATTGAAAAAATAATGAACTAATTTTTTTTAAGTTTTTTTGTTGTTGCGCAAACATAGGTGCATTCTTTCAACAAAAAGTTTTGTTAATAACGAATCATTATATTCCAAAAATTATTTTTAATTGTCATGTTGGTATTTTTTTACTTAATGTTATTTTTTTGAGCTAATTTAAAGTGCTCATATACTAAGTGGTCTAGGTAATATGAGCACTTTTGCTATTTTTTTAAAACTTCTGTTTTTAAGAAAAAAATTTTTAAGTCGATCATGAGATCACTAAAAATTGTTAACTCGCAAAAATTTTGGATCCAGCATAATTTTTTTTGAAAATATTGCAGTTTTCCCTTGAGGTGCTCATATTACCCTAGTCTACCCTAAAGGTTTTCATACCTACGTATAAATTGAAACCTGCCACAAAAATCTTCAAAGCATTGATAAGTAATACTGAGAAAAATTATGCTTTGTAGCAACATTATAAACAATTTTAACAAACAAATGGTAATAGTATAATACATTTATTCAAAGATATCTACAATTGCTGCTTTGCGAATTTAAACTATCATGTGGCATTTTACAACAATTTTTGGTATATAGTAGTATGAAAATTATAGGATTTTTAAGGCCTTTTTTTATGTTGTAGAGATTGAACTTTTGACATTTCATTGTTAAAATATATTTTTAACATAAAAACATAAAAGTAATATAAAAAAGACAGAATTCTATAATTCTTATGCGACGATTTTTAAGGAAATGTACAAAACGGTAATATAAATTTGTCTTTTATTCAAAATATTTTATACATTTATATATATGTATAAATGTATAAAATTCCTAATGAATGAAAATGTACATGCACCTGATAAACCTACTGATGGTGAAACATGCTGTTGAAGACAACTAAAAATTAGATAAGTGTTTTTACTAATTTATTATTGGTCTGTTCTTTAAGAACATTAAGCACACTAACTTGATTTATGTATATATATATATATATATATATATATATATATATATATATATATATATATATATATATATATATATATATATATATATATATTACGTTATCTCATGAAATACCCCATTAAATAGTCTACCAAATAGAGAGCTTCATACCATTAGAAAGAGTTTGAGGTTCTTATACTTTTTAATATTATGTTTGAAAACATAACAACGCATATTTTTCTCTTAAATTTTAATTTATGTAACTCAAAAAGAAACTTTAAATCTCATAATATAACTATGATTGTTTTATCATGTTTTTGCATTTCTCATTTCTCTATTTGCATTTTGGGTTCTCTATAGGGAATATATAAATAAAATCTACATTTCACATATCTTAGAAGTTTAATTTTGGCTCTATTGAGGGTTCACAAAAATCTCTTTATATTAAATTTAAAAAGCCCTTGCCAATCTTTGATGAGATAAATAGGCTACATAATGTACTTATCTTTGATTGGATCACTCTAGCTTCAGAAGTACTTCAAATAAAAAAAGAAGCTTCTTTTTTTATTTTAGGTCCCCAAAGAAGTCCTTACGGTCTTATCACAGACCACCGCGGAAGAGCGTTTGAAGGGAAGTTTACGCCTCCTTCCTTACCGATGTTATAAAACTTGCCCAGAGGTTGCGTCGAACCACGGACCTCTAGCTTCTGAAACAAGCGCGCTAACCACTGTTCTACGGCTGTTCTATTTTTGATTTTGGAAATGCTCTAATAAAAAGCTTAAAACGTAAGCATGGTATTAGATGAACAAATAGTTGTTTTTGCATTACCAGACAAAGTTTTGCCTGATATCAATAAGGTAGAAATGATAAAAATTTGCTCATCAATGTGAAGCCAGAGATATTTAGACACGGTTTTCCCACAAAAGTTCCCAATATGGACAGTAATCTGACACTTTCTAACCTTATTGGTCTGGAAAGCTGAATTTTCCTCAACATTAGGTTTCTGATGAAGATGTTTTTAGAAAATAAAAACTTTTTTTTCCAGACTTTTAAATTTTCAATATTTTTTTGCTTTTATTAAGTTTATTAAATAAAAATTTCCCATAAAAAACATGAAAATTATAAAAAAATCGAGTTCAATGTAATCCTGTTTCACACGACCTTATGAGCTGAAACTTTAAACATATTGGATTTAATTGGATTTAATTGACCAAGATTGCAAAGTATAATGTTCCTGAATTTTGGCTTTTGCTATCATTATTTTATCACAGACTGTGTAATACCATTTATTGAACCCATAAAGTTTATTGAACAACTTCCCAAGCCGCACAATGCGTTAGACCAACGTTGGCTAAACGATTTCGGTGTTGGCCCATTTTAGTGCGCTGCTCGGGTTAGGATTAGTTTACCTTTCGGCAAAATTCGACTGAATAAATTGACTGAAAAAAAAAATTGTATAAATAGATTTTTTATCATGTTATAATTACGTTTTTATAACTTTTTCTGTTTATATATTGATGTATATTGTAAAGTTAAGTTTGTATTCGTGTATAAATTTAATTTATAATATATATTTATAAATACTTTTATTATGCATAATTTATATAACAATTTATGAATATAATATATATAAAGCTATTTGTAGATATAGAATACGAACGAGCAGAACTCCGCAGAGGGAAGGAGTATACTAAGAGAACATGCTTGAAAAGGGAAGATACTAAGGGAAAATACTTAAAAAATCTTTAATCAATGTTATTCAAAACAATTTAAACACATGGACGACCTCAAATGTCAATAACGCCTTTATATGAATTTTGAACAACATTGGAAATACTAATGTTTCTTTAACGTTTAAAAATAATTTGATTTTTAGTATAAACATGTTGAAATTTATATTTTTATCGTAAATACAATTAAATCTGCCATTTCGAAAAGGGCGCGAGGGTAATACACATCTTATGCACTGCAAGAAAATTCATAAAGCAATCGGAAATTAAAGTCTTTATAAAAATCACACAATTTTAAAACTCATTTTATATAATCCATATTTTGTTAAAACTTTTATTAATAGATTTAGACCCTTGTCGATTCTTTAAGCCATGCCCTTCTTGTCTCTTTTCAAAATGACGAGTTCAATTATAGAAATTATAAAGTTAAAATTAGTTTTAATAAAAGTGTTTTAATAAAAGCTTTTTTAAAAAAGTAGTAAGCATAGTTACTCTAAGCATTTCTATAGATGAATTCAAAACCATAACAGAGCAATATCACATATTTTCTAAAGCCTATCAGAGATGAATAACGTGTCGGCGAATTTTATTTAATCGTCTTTTGCTGGCAAACTCTTTTATAATTTTACTTCTGCGTTTCTTTTTTAAGTCAGGTTGCTCGTGGAACTTTTTTACTAAAAAGAAATTTTAGACGTTATAAAAGGGAACTAAAATTTACATTTAAATTTTAAGTTTACATTAAAATAAAAATTTATATTAAAAAAAAAAGTTTGTAAAAAATCAGAAAACTTTTTAGACTTCAAAAGAAGCTCACTATTATCATAGGCTTTTTCGATTTGATCTTTCTTTAGAGGTCTGTCCCATAAAGCCAGAGCGCACATTCTTAAAGGGTACATAAATTCAACATTAATTGCGTTGTTCGGACGTCCAATTGTTAAAATCGTATAATTAACCGACGGACGATACGCTGGCTTGCTATAAGTTTCTTCAACAAAAGATCCGTTAAGATAATATGACAGCGTTTCTCCTTTTTTCCAAACAAAAACAATATTATTCCATATGTTAGGCTCTATTTTTGGAACATACATTTTCCATTGAGCACGTCTTGTACTTAAGCATGCCACGTATCGTCCATGAAAATACAAAAAAGCGAATCCACGTGACTTTTTAGACTGACCTAAAGATGAATTCATATAGAAAGTTATATAATGTGCGAGTGTTTATATATTATATATAATAAGAATAATTAGTTAATAAGATTGTAATTAAAAAATTGCAACAAATTTAACTCAGTTTTATTTAAGAAATATTTATTGACTTATTTAAAGATAGACATAGCAAAGTGTGTATTAATTTATTTGTTTAAAAGCGCTGCAAATTGTGAGTACACCAATTTTTTTGTAACTACATTGAATATGATTTTTGTAATACACTTTTTTTAGAAAAAAAAGAGTGATTTTACACAGATAATACCTGCCCAAACTATATCGAATCAGTGCTGCCTGCCTTAATACCCAATAACCTAACTGCTTGCACAATACACAAACTCACACATTTTAATTCACTTTTAAATTAATTTTTTTTAAATAAACCTGTTTTATTAAAAAAATTTGAGACGTTAAGTTTTATTAAAACAGGTTTATTTTACGCAAGGTTTTATCAAGAAAACTCTTTTTTAATACTACCTACAGTAGAAAGAGATCGTAAATAATTAAAAAATTCTGGAAATATTGCTATGTTTTCAGAATTGAAAAATTAAAAAAGTTATGATTTTGCAAAACTGTGACAAATTAGAAACCTTCGTGGACACCTAAATCACAATAAAATTGTTTTGCTTCTTTTTAAGTATAATAGTGAGATTACGGATTTTTAGTAAACTCTCCAATTTTAATCGCTATTTAATGACTCGAAAGTATCTTTCGCAAAGCTGCTAACTCAAAATAATAAAAGCTTTATTTAAACTTTTGGAAAAAGTTTAAATAAAGATTATTTAACATAAACAATAAAAAAGATAAAAAAATCACTTCAAAATTAGCAAAGTACTGAACACTCCCAAAAAATGAAATTCAGAATATTCCCAACATACACAAAGCATGATGATGTAACAATAACATAAGATCATATAAGAAGGATTATATCTAACCTAAAATCAAACAAATCTCAAGACTCTTTCAGTAACTCAGCAGAATGTTTAGAATATGCAAGGTGTGATGCCTTAACAACGACTTACAAAGTTCTTCAACTACTCCATTAATTACTGTTGAGTACCTAAATTAATGTCAACGTTAATCATTGTGGTCCTAGTTAAATTGTAAAATAAAACTTAGTAAAGTCCAAGTCTTGGTATTAGAATACATTTTTTTCATAAAAATTCTTGAACATCTTAATCATAATAATATGAAGATAATAAATACTCACCCAAATATAGTTCAAATGTAACGGTTCAACGCTACATGCTGAACTTAATACAGTTCAAATGTAACTGTTCAACGCTACATGCTGAATTTCTAATTAGTAAAACTACCAAACTTACAACAGCAACAACTTACCAATGTACTTATGTTTTTTAGATAAATGTAATTACTCTTTGATAAAAAGCTAACAATTGTATATTTAACACTCTTTCTTCATTTTACAACAATAGTAGCGTAACAATCTCATGTCAAGGTTAAAAATTCCTTTCCTTTTAAATCAAGGAGTAAGACAAGTATCAATTCTTTCCCCTCACTTCTATAACATTTATATTTAAAACCTTTTTGAAACAACCAAAAATCAAGGTCTACATATATCTATATATGGTAATTTTATGGGTGTGATAGCTATGCCGATAATGTTATACTTTAACACTCTCTGCTCTGGAAAATCGTTTGAAAAAAATGCAATATTTACAAAATATTTATGCAATATTTACAAAATATTTATGCAATATTAACAAAATATTTATGCAATATTTACAGTAATTTTAATTGTATTAAACTAAATGCTGACAAAACAAGTTTATTGATTTCAGGTAAAATACAAAAACACATCAAAATGATAACTCTTTCTAGTAATGAAAAAAACTTCAGAATATACTTAAACACTTAAAATTTACTTGGGATACTGAACATTCCGTGTATGCATCATTTAGTTGTTCAAATGTTGAGAAAAGAACCTCAACTTTTAGAGCTGTTGTTCAAACTCTAATTCAGTCTGGAATTGGGCTTCCTCACCCAAGTTTCATTTTGTATACTATTAGCAGTGTGAACTTATTGAACAGAGTTGTGTGAAATCAATGATCTGTTAATAAAAAAACTGGATATAATAGGATATAAAAATTATTAAATGTTTCAGAGTACAGTAAGAACTATATAAATTCCCTATTAAAAATCCGAGAAATATTAAATTGTATTTAACAAAATAAACTAAACTTATTTCTTTGTCTTTTGGACAATAAAGTAATGGTTATTAAATTCTTTCAGAACTGAAATATCCTCTAGTTCAATACTCTATTGTTGCTGATATAAAGGAACAATATCTCTGTCAGACAGTAAATTTTAAAAATTAGATGCAAATTAAAAAGAAGGTGAATTTATCACTTTCAGAGAGTGAAACCAAGTCAAAGAAACCAAGAGACAGAAAAAATTGAGGAAGCTTTGAGATGTGCAATAAAGTGCTGGAAATCCAAAGAGACATCTTCAAGTAAATTCTAAAGTAAAAAACAGGAAATAACTTATTTTAGTAGTTTTTTACCCACTATGGGTGTAAAATTTTAAATAAATTTTTATATTGTGGAAAAATTCTTTTTTTAACAAGAGTTAAAAAAAGAATCTTTCCACAATATTAAAATTTATTTAAAATTTCAAATTCTTAAAAAACTCTTAAAAATTGTTCTTTTGATTTAATGAAAGAATATTTTTAATAAAAAAGATAACTTTTTAAAAATAATTATTTAAAGATTTTTTCTTAGTAACATAATAATCTTTTTTAGATTTCATTTTTATTTCAAGATTCTATTTAACAAAAAATTCTAAATAAAAAGATGGTATAAATGTAAATAAAAGATCAACCAGCATATGTACTCTAACACTATAGCCATTATTTCTAGAAGAGCTAGAAGAGTTCAAGTTTTATATTGGAAAATGGAAACTTTGTGGAATCAGAAGTCAAGCAAGTATATCATGTCGCTGTATTTTAGTATCACAATTGATAGTGGTCTATCCTTAAATAGAGAGCTATTTTCAGTTTGTTTGTACTTCTTGCTTCAATCGAGACTGCATTGAGAACTTTTTTCCCATTATTTAAAGAAAAGGTTAATTTAATAAATAGACATGCAATTTTTTTTATTAACTTAATAAAATAAATAAGAATTGTTTGTAATTCTTATTTATTTTAAATAAGAATTACAGAATTTTTGTTGAGAAATTATTTGATTTATTTATTTATATTAAACAATTTTTCTATTTATATTAACCAACTTATTTATATTAAACAAATAAATAAAATTTACAGAAAAATCATTTGACTGATTTATTTATTTGCTTACTGTTACTATCATCTGTTTTTTACTATTTACATATCATCTTCTATAACATACCGTATTGTCAATGCAAATTTTTTTAATAATAATAATACTATAATTATCAGTGTTATCAAATAGTACTAATTCCCCATATTAATTAATACAATTATTTTTATTTATCAATTTCCTGACCAAACCCTGCAAAAAAAATTTAACCAACCGCTAAGAAATTGATAAATATAAATAATTGTATTAATTAATATGGGGAATTAGTACTATTTGATATTACTGATAATTATAGTATTATTATTATTAAAAAATTTGCATTGGCAATACGGTATGTTATAGAAGATGATATGTAAATAGTAAAAAACAGATGATAGTAACAGTAAGCAACAGATGATAGTAAAAAACAGCAAATTTTAAAATAATTATGTGTATAAGTTTTAAAACATTTGCACACATAAATGTACAAAGAAAAAACAAAACTTAAAATCTTAGTTCAAATAATTTCAACCAACTTTATAAAAATAAACAAACAACTTTATAAACCCACAAACAAACAACTTTATAAACCCAAAAACAAACAACTTTATAAACCCACAAAAAACAACTTTATAAACCCATAAACAAACAACTTTATGGATTAGAAAGTTATTGTTTTAAATTTTTTAATTGTATACATTTACTAATTAAAAAAAATCAAAAACAACTTTTTTTAATAAAAAACCCGTTGACTTGAATCAAATGACATTGTACATTCACCATGTCTATCTCAGTCAGTTTGTATGCACTCCTTGTGCCTGTTCCTAGATAATACCAATTTAATTGTTTTACCTCCACTACTTATGATGTAGGCATCTTGTGTCTTATTTATATTTGTATCATTGAGTTTCAACCAAAATGATATCGTCATTCCTCCCATAATGCAGCTATCAGGATTACTGAAGCATGTCTCTACAAAAATAATTTAAGAAATAATGCAAAATAAAGCTAAAATCTTTCTTAATTAACTTTATACTTTAAAAAATAAAAACACATTGTCATCATCATCATCACCTCATGATCTACTCTTTATTTTTATTACCTTTAAAATCTCCTGCAATTATGTATGAACCTTTTTTTTCTGTCGAAATAACCTCTTGAAATTTGTCATCTTTTACTAGCTCTCCTCCTTGAAGAACAATTGCTGAATGACCAGTCACAAAATCCATTGAAAAGATTCCACTTCGCAAGACTTCAAGAGGCCAAAAATGTGTTGCATCCAAGAATGGATTGCTTGCTAAAATTGTAATTGAAATTAAAACCATATTATCTGTTCATTTGAGTTACTCCTGCATGGTTCATATATGGGAGGAGATATTTACTAGTGTTCGGAAAATTTTCCTACCCACCTTAAGGTTATTAAGACCCCCTCTTGTTTATTAATTTTTAATTGTTATCGACAAAAAAATTTATATCTCAAAACTAAAAAAAAAAATTAGAGTAAAACTAGCTTTAAAAATTAGAAAATATTTAATCAGTCACTGATAAGAATAAAAACTTTCACTGTAATCAGACTTTAAAAATGGTTGACCTATAAAAAATCTGCTTAATCTCCATTGGTCAAAAACAAACTTTTGGTTTTTTTCTCACCATTGTATAAAACTTGTATAAACATATTAAATCTTTTTAAAGATACAAAAACTGTTAAAAATTAAATTGTTTTATGCATGTTCTATAAAAAATCCCCCCCCCTACCTTGTATTTGGCATGCTAGAGTAATGTACATATATGAACATATATAACAAACAAGAGATTATTTTATTATATGATATAAACTTATAGATTTTATAAAATATCAAATTTAAGTAAATACAAAATATAATATATAATATTCAAAAGATTTTACGAAATGCGATATTAATAAAATAATTTTAATTAATAATAACTACAAATCATTAAAGCATATAATGAACATGAAAATTCATTGAACTTTATTTATAAAAAAGCAGTTTTTAAATAGCTTTTTTATTAATTAATAAACAATGTTACAATGAATCAAATAATATAATGCTATACATTAATTGAAAAAAAAATATAGACATTTATCTTTAATTACAATTATTTTTTCCCTAAGAAAGTAAAAAAAAAATGTATAAAAATCAAGTTAAAGTTGTAAGAAACAAAGTAATTTAAATTTGCAAAAAGGTGATTTTAAAAAAACAGCAAACTATGACTTTTTAGACATTTATAAATTTTGAAATTTATAATCGAAAAATTTATAAAAATTGAAAAATTTTCTCCTTAAGTATTGTTGATTAAACAGAGTTGATATAATTCTCTTCATTTTGTTAAACAAAATGAACATTGTTGGCTAACAACATTGGGCCAGGTAAGTTATGGAGGTACTTATGTCATGCAACCATTTCAAAATCTGTATTTATTTAAAAAAAAAAATGCAAACAAAGTAAAACATAAATTTTTCAATGTCTTCAGATTATAGCTGAAAAGAAAGGCATACACTATTTAAAAAAAAGTTTAAAAAAATTCAAATATAAAAAATACTGCCATTATATTATTATCAATGATAATAAATTAATGCATGATGATAATCATCATGCATATATGTGTGTATAATAAGTTCATGATATTCTATATAGTACTATATGTTTTGTGTAATTTCTAGTATTTTATATAATTAGGAGCTTCCTGGTATTTTGGGTGGTATCTGTTATTTAATGCTGGTATTTTGGGTGATTCTAGGTATTTTACAATGCATGACAAGCATTTGTTACATTCGAAAAAACGCTCATAATTTTTTCTGAAAGTAAGTACTAAAGTGCTAGCTAAAAAAACTGCTGTCTTGGTGCTCTTGATTAAGCTAAGGCTAAAGAAAATATTTAAATAAACAACACTTATTTTATCTTAGCCAGGTGTAAACAGTACCCAATCCTGTTATGTAGAAGGCCAGAAGATTTGCTATAAACTTACTACAATATGGCAAAAATCTGGTTACTCATTAATTCAAAATAAAACTGATTTTAGCTTGTGACATGAATTTTGAAAATAAAATTTGTAGTTCTCTTAAGTCTGCACACTTGCACATGCTGTGATATCAAAATTGCCACAAATCCTGACCTACTGGATCAATTAATCTGAAATTAATATAGACTTTGGTATGACCATAAGGTATATTTGCACAACTTTTCATCAAACTATAAAGAGTGGTTTTAATTATACATTTGTAAAAATGTATAATTATATATATAATAAATAAACAAAATAAATGTAAAAGTGTATAAAGTAATAGTGAACAAACAGAAAAATAACTGAAGATATTTTTATTTTTGAATCATATAAAATTTTAATAACTCTATAAAATAAGTTAGTGAAGTGTCATGGATATCACTATTAATGTGAATCCAGAGATGCAGGTTAAAATCATGGTGCAGGGTAATATTAATTTATAATAACTTATTTTTTTTTTAAGCATATGTTTTATGCGTATTAACTATTATTGTTGTTTAATAATTATAAGTAGTTAGTATAATTATAAATAACTAGTATTTTTCTGCAACTAGTATAATTATAGTATATACAATTAGTATTTTTTACAACTTTTAATTTTAAGTATTTAATACAACTTTTAATTTGAAGTATTTAATACAATTAGTATTTTTCATCAACTAGCATAATTATAAATAATTATACTAGTTGCTGTTTCATTTTTGCAATGGCTATTTTGTTCATGAATGCTGTTTTCATTTTATTCTTTTTCCAAATTTACATCAAGATTTGTTTCTAATTTATATTCAGTATTCATATCTGATTCAATTCATTGCTTTTACACCTAATTGAAAGAGTGTCTGTATTCCTTTTTTTTCATTGTATATGTATTTCTTTTCTTTCTTTTCTTTTTTGCGCGTCCAATTTATGCATTTACATATTTCTTGCACGCAGAATCTTAAAAATATCAAGTAAATAAATCTAAAAAATTATAAAAAATTGTTTTTCTATAACAAAATTTTTTTTTTTTAACTTGTATTAACCACCACATGATTAAAAATATAAAAATCAATAAAATAAGAAATTGTTGAAAAAAAAAGTCAAAACCTTATACGCAAATCACATACAACAAAAAATTTGTTAAACAGAAGGCTCACTACTTGAGGCAGTGGCTGATGAATTTTAATCCAAACATAATTTACTAGCAACAGTCTTACTGAGCATTCTACTTATCTTTTTTTGGATTATCTTTAACTACTGACCTTTTATGAAAACCATAAATACAATCCCTAGCAAGGTTAGCATATGCTAAGTTTGTGTCTTTTTTCACCATTTATGTACCTTTTACTGTTTCTGTTATTTGATGCTTGAAAAAATTTTATTCATTTACTATTTTCCTGCACATCAATACTTTGGAGTTTTCTCATACTTTCATGTTTTCCATATGCATACAACTTACAGTCTTTTTTCAATTATCTTTTTAACTTTCTTTTTTACTTTTTAGTAACTGTTAACTTATATACAGGATTGTCACTGTCATTTAGGAATAAAAATCTATGATTTTCCATAAGTATTTTTAAGGTACTTTTGCTTATTTTTCCCTAATACTACTGTTATTCAAACTCGCAAAACTATAAAAACTTTCCTATTAATCTTCTGACAGGCTATTTTTACACTGATTATTAAACATGAACAAACCATGAACATGAACAATAAACATGAACAGATATATCTTTAGAGCGTATGATTAATTTTGTTAAAACATGCTTTTTTTTCGTTCTTTTAAACATTAGTAAATTAGTAAATTATTCATTATAAAATATTTTAAAACATTAAAATCAAATAGAACAAAATAAAAAAAAAATCAAGGAAAAACACTATCTGATTTTTCACTAAATCGATATTTCCCTCTGATTTTCCCTGATTATATCTAAATTTCCCTGATTTTTCATGACTTCCCTGAATTGATGGCAACCCTATAAACATGGGTTGCTAGCAACATTGTTAAAAGCAATTTTTTTAAAAAAAAAATTCTTGTGTAAATTATATAGTATAAAATAAATAATAAGTACATTTTCTTATGCAATAAATTATATAAGTTATATGGTTTTAGACTCGTCAGGACAAGTGTTTTTTACTAATTTATATATAATTATTTAGTATAAAAAGATTTATTTGATATTTCTATCTGCAAAATGGATTTATATATACAGAGGTAAATATTACATTTTTTATTATACATTACATATATCTATAAAAACACATACTTATAGAATAGATATATGAAATTTATTTTGTTATGTTTTTTTTTTTTTATCTTTTATATTAATATTTTATTAAATTAGGATTAAGTAAAGACAGTTAATAGATGTAGACAAAAAATGGTAACTTTATTTAAAATATAAGCTTATTTAAAAAGTAAGACGGTATAGAAGGTGGAAAAAATTGTTTCTTAACAAATTGTCTATTAAATATTGTAACAATTATAGAAATTTTTTTTGTAAAGCACTACAAATTATAACTTATAAAAATATAACTTATATTACGTTTTAAAATTTTTTTGTAAAAAAAAATTCTTAGCCAACACAAATAAATTTAATTTAGAACATAATTAATTTTACTTACTTAATATGCCTTTATCAGTATCATCTTTTTTAGAAGCATTCTCATTGCTGTCTTTTCCTGAAACTAAAAAAATAAATAAGAGTTAAAAATATTGTTAATAACTATAAAAACTAAAAAAAAAAACCCTTGTCAAAATTTTCTAGACGATTTTGGAAAAAATATATAACAAAATAAATACATAAATTAATTATGTACTTAATTAGTCATTAATCATCAATTAATGACTAAAAATATTCAAAACTCAATTGCATTTATTTCAATAATTTTAACTAATATTTTTTTACAGAGCCTTTTGACTTGGGAGTAAATACAAATATTACACTTATAAGTATGAACAAAAACAAACCTATAACTATAAGTTCAATAAAAAATAAGAACTGTATTAAGGTTTCATTCAAACCAAAAAGACAAACATTATGAACAACATTTTTTGTCTTAACTTCAAAATACTGTAACTAAATGCAACTTTTGCATTTCATATTGTCCAAGTGCCTTACTTAGTTAGAGATTTAGATTACCATATTAAGTGACATATACAAACTTTTTGGGAATACCGGTTTGGTCTGATGCGGGGGTATCTGATTTTGATCTTGATTCTTGTAAAATACATTTTTGGGTACAGATCTAATTTATTATATTATTAGACAAACAATGATTTCATATTAAAGTAATTGTACTCATTTTTGTAATTGACGTGACTAATTGTAAATTTGTAATTGATGTATAAATTATACAGTGTATAATTAAAAACCTGTACTAATTGTATTATTATGGATGCAACTCTTCAATTTAAATTGATTTTTATTACATTATTTCAAAGGAGTATAGATACCTTCATTATCAAGTATAATATATAAGTACAAGATGTTATGATTGATGGATTCAGGGGTAGGAAAGAGGACCCCCCCCCCACCATCAGAATCTTCGGACCTTTTTTTTTTAAGGAAAAAATTTTTTTTATAGCACTCCTTAGCCTCCCCCCCCCTCCCACCTTGATTCGGCACTGGTAATTGATGTAATTTTGTAATTGCAATTATTTTTCGCACGAATTTTGTGGTTGATTTATACACAAGGGCGGATCCAGACCATCTAGTAAATAGGGCAATTTAAAATTTTTTGATTTGGTGCATCCAGACCAATTAGGAGAGAATGAGGGGCGGGTGAGGAGGGTGGTTGGTTTGGTTGATTCAAACTATTTGATTTTGTAGGAGAAGGGAAGGGAGGGGGGGGATTGGATGTTTGATTATCTACTTAATTTTTTTAAGAATATTAGTCTTTCACTGTCTTTATTTATGTTTTCAAACAATCGCTCATTAAATATGTAAATTTACAAAAATTTTTTTTAAAGGATATTTGTTAAGTGATTTATTTTTATTCTTTTGTTCTTTGTTTAGTATACCATTTTATTAATATTGACTAGAAAAAATATTTTTTTTTATTTTTTCTAAATCAAAATCACAAATATTTGTATTTTTATTTGGAAAATGCCGATTACATAAAATGTAATTCAAATACAAATATATTATGTTTGAATTTGAATTTGTAAATGTGAAACTAGAATTAACGTATCCGAATTTGTATTTGATCAACTGCATTTAACCCCCTTATGCGTACATTTTATTGACGTATATTTGAGCTGGTGAGAGCATGGTGTAAGTCAAACAAAAATAATTGAGTTTAGTCAATATTTATGGTTAGAAAACATCATTCTGTTAAATTTGAGACCAGTGTAAGGTGAAAGTTATGTAAAGAAACTAGCAACTGTTTTTTTTTTTTTTTCGTTTATAGGCATTTAAAAATTAAAATGTGCCAAATATATTTGTGCACCTGTGGTGTACAAATATACTTGTACACCTGTGGTGTACAAATATATTTGTACAGGCTACACCTTGGAGTACAACAATAATATTATGAAGCCATTACGCTCTTATCACAGAGTACCGTGGAAGAACTTTTAACTAGGAAGTTCACGCTTCCTTTCTTACCAATGTCGCTTATTGAGCTGGAGCCGGCGTCGAACCTCGGTCATCCGGGTTTTAAGCCAGAACTTTAACTACATAATATATAAGATTAAATCAATCTATTTAAGTTGGTGTATTCTATAAATAGAGTATTCAATATTCTTAAAGAACAGAACATATATATATATATATATATATATATATATATATATATATATATATATATATATATATATATATATATATATATATATGTATATATATATATATATATATATATATATATATATATATATATATATATATATATATATATATATATATATATATACACACATATATATACCATATAAAAATTTTTAGAATATTTTTTCGAAATTTAATTCGACGCACTTACTTCTGCATACCTATTCAGCATCAATACAAATCGGCTAATTTCTGCATACCTATTCAGCATCACTAAGATGTTTTACATTTGAATAATAGGCTTTACAATTTTAAATGTAAGAGTTTTTAATGAAATAATGAACAATAGTTCAAATTGAAAAAAAATTAAATTCAACATTTAGCCAATAATTCCCAAACAATAAATGAATAGCTTATTTCCAACACATTGCTTATGTTTGCTGTTTAAAACTTAATTTTAGACTAAATATAACTTTAATGTCACATATTTTTTAAAGTGGGCTATAGCCTACTTAAAGTACTACTTTAAAAAAGCTATGAAGGGCCTTGAGTTATGTCTATATTGCGGCAAAAAAAATTTAAATTTCCTTAACTAACAGCTATTTTTGTTTGCTGAAAAAGACTTAAACTCAAACAATACATGGGTAATACTCAACAAATAAAATTTGTATTCTTGAGACAACTTCTTTGATGCTTTACTTCCTCTTTACTAAATTTTTTTTTGTCAAGTGTTAACTTACGTTATCCTGGTGTTCACGTGCGGACTCATTGTACTACAATAAATAATAAGAATGCCACAAATGTCTTTATTTATACATACATTCAGAGTGATGATTTTCAGCACAAGAATTGTTGCAATTAATAGAAGGTAGTAATATTGTTGAGTTTTAAATCTGGGCTTTGGTTAAAAATTCCGTCTTTTATGTCAACTCACTGTTATATAGATCCAAGACGTTCTACACAAAGATAGGCCTTACAAATTGCGGTTCACTTGTAGTTTATGTTTGTTTTGATTTTTAAATGATCGTGCACTAGCATAAAGAAACGAAAAACATTTTGAAGTCAACGTCTGCTATAATTCACTCACCCCATGGTGTAATCCACACACACCCCATGCAGTCAACGTCTGCTTGTAATTCACACTCCCCATGCGACACGTGCTCGGTATAAAAAATATTTTTATACCCAATTAAAAATAACAAATTAAGTCAACAATACATTCTTTATTTTGAAGCAAGTTTCGTTAAATACATAAATAATAATATACCAAAGCATTTAATAAAAATAAACTTACCAGGTAATAATTGTATAAATCCTAGCGCAACCAGTAAAAGCATATCAGAAATCTCGGGAGTTGAAAAATTGGAAAATAAAAACAAATTAAAAAAAAAAAAAACCAATCTCAAATAAAAATGCTCAAATATAAATACATGCGGCAAGGGTGCAAACACTTTTACCTGTGCAACTTCCTATGACATTTAAAGGTGAAACAAAAAAAGTTATTTTTTAAATTACGTACTACTTCATTTTAAAATAATTTAAATTAAAACCAAGTATTCAAATATAATTAATTTTCCATTGATTTTAATTTTTTATTTCAACTTATTGATTTCCTTAAATTAAAAATAAAACTGTTTTTTATTTATAATTATTAAATTTGTATATTTATTCCCAAAAAACATTCAAATGTTAAAGTTTTCATCGTTAGTTGTAAAAACGTTTTTTTTATGCTCTTTTTCACTTAAAAAACTTTTTTTAAATGTTTTTTGGATAAACCTTTTGAATATATATTTAAATAATATTCGCATAAGCTTACCGCCCCCCCCCCTCCACACACAAACGCGCTTTAAAACAATATTGATTTGGAATTCATTATATTATAAACTTAATATAACATAAAACATTATTTAAAAAATACATATAATTTATTTTAATAAGTAAAACTTTAAAGTAACTTCTGTTATACTTAAATATATTAAATATATCCATATACTAATTGTTAAGGCTAAAACTTAACATATATATTAAAACTTAACATATATATTAAAAACTTAACATATAAATTAAAACTTAACATATAAATTAAAACTTAACATATATATTAAAACTTAACATATATATTAAAAGGTCATAAACATCGTTATATCTAAAAAACTAATTAAAAAATCATTGATAACGAAACATCAACAGGAAGAAAACGTCTTCAAAATAGATCGTCCAGCTGATGCCTTTAAAAGACTTTAAATGTTCTTTGAGCCTTCGATTGTTTACACACGTCATATTCGCAATATTTTCCACAAATTTTTTCACTGTGGGTTCAATTCTAATGAAAGCCATATTAAGGGAAACAAAAACGTTTTCTGTGCCAAATATAACGGTTATGCAAAATGCAACTGTTCCGAAAAAGGGCTTTAGAAATGGCCTCGAGATTACATTAACTAGCTAATCTCTCTTCGTATTTTCTCTAGTATATTTTTGCGCAACTTCGTTAACGCGTTGTTATTTACGTGCATATTTCATACGTTTTGTCGTTTGTTTTTCTTTCGTGCCAAAGTATTTCTTTTTTTAGCAATTGACATTCGTTTATTAGGAGCTATTTGTTTTTCCCGATTTTCAACTTTAGGTTGATGCACCGATTTTACTAAAATAAAACACACACACACATATATATATATATAATATATATATATATATATATATATATATATATATATATATATATATATATATATATATATATATATATATATATATATATATATATATATATATATATATATATATATATATATATATATATATATATATATAATAAAATATATACAAAATAAAACAATAATTATAAAATAAAAAACATAAAATGATATAATATAAAACAACATAAAATAAATCAACATATAAAATGACAGAATAACGTACATAAAAGACTAACAGACATAACAAGACAAATGAATGATAATTTTAATAATGAAATAAAAATATCTAGGATTAGAAACGCGTGTCAATCAACCAGTCCATTTTAACTCTACCTTCACATAAATACATTATATCAAGAAACACCTTCTCTAAACATTCAACTGATAAAAAAAAAAAAAAAAAAAGATACAGAAATACAATGTTTTCTTCGTATTTTTTAATAAATAAAAGTGAAGGTGACACAGCTAGATCACACCAGTGTACTTCATCAGTGAATCTATGTATGTTTTGAAAATATTTTAATTTGAAATATTTATTCTACAGATTATACGCTATAACCTGGTCACCCTTTTCTCATTACACGTGCATAAAATAGGCTTTATCTTGAGTTGTATGAGAGAATAGTTAGCATATTAAACAAAACACATTTTACGATTATCTATTAACAATTGTTTTTTAAGATTATCTTTGTCTGTGATGCTTTCATTAAAACCCTCTGTGACTGATTTGTTATACATATTTTCAGGTTCAGAGCTATCACACAGAGATGTCATTAGATTCAATTCATTGGATCTTAGGAGATTGATGTGAGTTTATTGAGTTGTGAACTAATGCATAATTGAATTTTATATAGAAATAGTTTGTAAAATAACAAATGATACTCGGTTACATAAGAAATAATATGATTTATAAAAAACGATTGTTCATCATTAACATTTATTTTTTAAATTTATGGTGGTCATGTACTTTATTTTACCTTTTAATGCTGTTCTGGAAAAATAATTCATACCTACAGGCCCAACAGAGGATTAGAGTGCTGTTTAGGCCGTTTCTTTTTCTGCTTCATGAGTTGTTTTACATTGTTATTGTATGCAACTTAGGTTACTGTTGCGCTTAGAGCATTTGGTAGCCTATTGTTGCGCTCAACTGTCGTTCATGAAGCAGGTAATGATAGTAACTTGAATGCAATATTCTGTAAAAATTGTCCTCTACAGAATTCAGATCACCAATATGATGGGTCACTAGTAAAGTTCAATTTTTCATAAACTTTAGATTATGACGATGAAACCATGAAATCATTTTAGTACCTCCCCAGGGCATGCAAAATACAAATTAAAATTCTCAACTTATTTTGACAATAGTTAAGAGACCTTTTTTCATTTTTTCTGATTCTATCATATTATTTATTTTGAATTTTGGGTCCTTATCTATTGCTTCTTTTTAAGTAGTATCATATGCACTGATTTTTTCTCTGCCTCTCAATAATTATCAATTTTTTTCATTTATTCATTCAAAGGTATTCACATTCGCTATTTAATAAAACTTCTTCTAAATTGTTGGGAATATAGTTCCATAAACAAGCCATGACATACACATGAACAAAACCTTCATCTGCAGATTTAACCGCATATTGAAGTGATGCCAATATATGTTTGCTAATATATGCAAAATGCATTCATAGTCCAAAATGTTATATTGCCTTGGAACTTATGCTATATGTGCATGTCATCATGCACACAAAATAGTGTAAACTCAAGAATATGAAATTAATATGTTTGTAGATCATTATTTATTTTATCATAGTGGAAGCAGCAGACCCTCTTGTCAGTATACTTTAAAGGCAGACCAGTTTAGATTTTCTCATATAATGTTTATCTTGCCACTTATGAAAAAATCCACAAATAAACAAAACATAAAACATAAATACTATTTCTTTGAAGAAACTGCATTCTATTGTACAATTATTATTATTACATATATATATATATATATATATATATATATATATATATATATATATATATATATATATATATATATATATATATATATATATATATATATATATATATATATATATATATATATATATATACATATATATATATATACATATATAACAAGCAAAAATACAAAAACTTAGACAGAAAATATCTACACAATAGAGCTGATCAGAGCATAAACAGTAATTTTACACAATTTACTATAAATTTAACTTCGCAACAACAATAAAAATCAGAATAAACATTTTGATAAGTAACTAAAGATAACTTAACTTTATTAACTTGTATGTTGTTCAATTTAAGTTCCAAGTTGTAATGTAAGACTATTAATGCAATCATTTGTGATTCAGTTTCTGAGGTTCTAAAAGTACTGTTATAAGAGGGTGTTAATTGGGTTTAATTTGTGCAATTAAATATACTATTTTTAGATGAGTTTAATTGCACAAATTAAACAAATTAACACCCTCTTATAATTGAATTGAAAAGGTTAAATAGTTAACTTTACTTACTGTGTAATTATTTTAGTACCATTACTATGGTTACTATTACTATAGTAAGTATTGGGGTAAAATGCGGTTTTGCAAATACACTACTTTTAGAGCCTTAAAAACTGAATCACAAATAATTAGATTTGAAATAAGGTGATACAAGACAACACTAGCTTGAGCTACAGTTCACTTTTCATGCAGCATTATGGTTACAAGGTACAAATTTTTGCATCCTAAGAAACCGGTATCTAATAATTAAAGCTTTGTTTACTAAAGCTGGTGATAAAAGCTGGAAGTATAGTTTTTATTTATCTAAATAACATCTAATTGTCAAAAAATTAATTAAACAAAAGCCTTTAATTAAACAATAAAATCAATCTAGTTTCTATTATAATGCATTTTAATGTGCTCCACTTCAAAGAGGTAAAACAGGATTTATTCTAGCAAAACGGGGTTCTGCCCCATTAGGGTGGCTCTTAAAACAAATTATTTTGAAAATGTCTGGTCTTAACCCCTAAATGTGTTTTTGTAGGCTAAAATAATACTGGAATAGAAAATTTTTGAAAAAAAAAAAAAATTTTAAGGGTTGCTCAAGACCCAAAAAAACATAAGATGGGTCCCTAATATTATCAACAAAAAAAAGTTCTTTAAAAATGTATCATGTAGGATCTCAAAAGAAGCAAAATGATTTAAAAATTTGGCTTCCATTGAGATGCAACATGAAAGTTACTTTAAAAATATATGCTTATTTAATGTACCTAAAATTCAAAATAAATGATCTGATAGAATCTGAAAAAAGACTCTTAACTATTGCCAAAAATAAGTTTAGAATTTCAATTTATATTTTGCATGCCCTGGGGAGATACTAAAATGATTTCATGGTTTTAAAGTTTTATTGAAATTATATAAAAATTTCAAGAACAACCATCATTTTTAAATAACATTGAGGAAAAAAAAACGTTTGTAAAAATGCTTATTTTTCATTTTTAGTTAAAAAATTTTCTAGGCAGTGAAATCTAAAGAGCAGACATTTTCAAAAAAGTTTTAAGAGCCACCCTATTCGTAATTACTCTATTTTTGAATTAAAATAATTGAAAAGTCTGTTGCCCAAACTTGTAATTCTTTTAAATCATGTAATTATACATGAATACTAACTTAATCATAATTTTGTTCAAGTAAAAGAACATAGATAAAAATAATTCAGATAAAAATAACATAAATAAAAGTATAAAACAACTTACTATTCTCATAGCACTTTTGGAGTTGAAAGTCTTTTAGAGGTCTATCCCATAATGCAAGAGCACTCATTTTAAGAGGATACATAAACTCCTGATCAATAGCATTGTTAGGACGACTTATTGTTAAAATTGTGTAGTTTACATATGGTCTATTTGCAACAGTACCATCAACTGTCTTAATTAACTTTCCATTAAGATAGTATAGAAGTGTTTCATTTCGGTTCCAGACAAAAGCGGCATTAACCCACTCATTATCTGGAAAGCTTGGCATAATGATTTTCCACTGTTTGTGTGCTGTACTTAAACATGCAACAAAGTTTCCATGGAAATACAGAAATGCAAACCCACGTGACTTCTTTGATTGACCTAAACACAATAATATTGCAATATTTTGGAGTTGGAACCAAACCCCCCTGCCCCTGTTTTTTAAAATATTATAATATATATAACAGGAAGGTTTGGTTTTAACCCTCCTTTTATATATAAAAAATATTTTTGTTTGACATAAGCATGAAAATATTTAAATTTGGAGTTTCGATAATGTCTGAAATTGTCATTTCTAAAACATCAAAATCTGCCACTGATTACAGATGCAGAAAAGACATTTTACAAAGACTTTGCACTACTAAAAAATAATTATTTCAAAAATGGGCTAAAAGGTGTGCCTATATCTTTCACTAAAGTTTTCTAGAGCACATTTAACATCAATAACTGCTGAGACCATTCTGTAAACAGGTGTAAATCAGTTTTCCAGGACCACTAAAGTTATTATATGATATTATTTTTCAACATTTTTTTATATTTGGCCCAACTTTTACAACTACATTCAAATTTTTTATTTCAAATTTTTTAATTCAAATCTAAAACAAGTTTCATAGACTTTTCCATAAATGTAAAAATGCCAGGGAATATATTAAAAGTTATTCTATATAAATTGGTTGGAACACTACCCAGTTCTACAATTGGTTGGAAAACAAATTTCTCTTCAATTACACTTTTGAGCAAAAATTTTAACTTTGTACTTAAATATTTCATTATCAAAATGTTTAAAAATTCTTATTTTCTAACATACTTATACCGAACGTGTTAAAATTTGAATCCATCATTTCATAAAAAACTTTTATGAAAACCAGTATGAAAACTTTTGATATGTCAAGAGCAATAGCCCTTAGCTAACCACTACTATCTGATGCATTGTAGAATCTTTCTGTTATAAGGATTTACAAGTCAATAGACTCAGAGGTTTTAAGAGAGATTAATTGATCAATTCACGTATTTGTCATAAAATTAGATTTGAATCCTTTAAGTTTTTTTTATGTGCGTTTGTCTTTACTCTTCGCTTTTCTCTTTTATTTTTTTTTTATTTCTGATCAAACTGACCAAGACCTTTATCTTTATTCATCAACCAATAATGTTGTTATAGAAGACTTTAATTCTTATCACACTAAATGATCTGGCACTAATACCATCAACTCTGCTAGCAATAAAACCAAAAATACTTTTCATTATCAATTGTAGGCTAGTTTTATTGTAGCAGTGACTGGTGATTTTTAAAACCAAAAAGTTGTTTACTGCTAATAATTACTAAAAATTGTTGATACTGGTAGCACTTATATTGTATTGATATTGATGAATGGTAGCACTCATACTGAACATTGATATTGATGAATGGTATTACTCGTACTGAGTATTGAGCACCCAAAATATTATAATATATATAATAGTATATATTGTAATTGGACCTGTTATAGCTGTCAAGTTTGAGCTTTTGCCTTAATGTCACAAGGTTGCATATATTTCTCTTTTCAACATGTACTACATGATTGATAATGACTTGTCATTCAGCTAAGCCACATCCTTTTACTGTAACTTCCTCTAAAAACATTCAATCATCAATATTTTATTTCCTTGTACACCTGGAAGAACACAGGTACCTTGTACATATATCAGTACACAGATACCTTGTACACCATGTAGCATGCAGGAACATTGTACATCACACAATAAACAGGTACCTTGTACATCTTGCAGTACACAGGTACCTTGTACACCTCACAGTTTTCCTGTCTTTAACAATTTATAGCTTTTTAAATCTTTTGTCAATTGTTTTCTCGCTTTAGCTCTTTTATTTGATTTAACTGCAAAATTAGTGAGCTACAGTAGCCTTTTTGAGAATGAGTTTGTGAAAGAAAAAAAAAAAACAGAAAAAAAAAAAAAAAAAAAACAAGAAAAAAAAAAATTAACTTTGATATCATAGAGTAAGAACTAAAAATAAAGTTTGAGATCATCTTTCAAATGTATTTAAGTTAAATAAAACATTAATTTACCAAATTTCTTGAGACTTAGTAAAGGTCCCATATAACTAATGTTAATTTTTTTGAGCAACATGATAAAACTTTACACAATACATTATTTTTTGGTATGCTCATTAAAACAAATTATATTTCCTAAAAAAAAGTTCTTAACTCCGCCACTAAAAACAAAAAATTCTTACCTCCGCCACTTATAATATAGGCATCTTGATTTCCATTAATATTTGATTGGTTCAGCTTCACCCAAAAAGAAATAGTCATACCACCCATAATACAAGAGTCAGGATTGGTAAAGCATGTGTCTAAAAAAAGTGAATTTACTAATTAATAAAAATAATTAATAAAAAAAAAAAAATGAAAAATATTAATTTTAAACTATATTTATTTACTAAATTTAAATTACTAAATTTATTGAAATCTATTTAAAAAAATGTAAATTTAATAAAATATTCATTAAATACCCTTTTTAAATAATAAATATAAACACAAGTTATAAATATATAAAATAATAAATATAAGCACAAGTTTTAGCAAATAAATATTATAAATAAATTTATCTTCAAAACAAATTTAAAAAAAAAAAAAATTCAAAGTAAAATAAAAACAAATAAATATATCTTAACCTTTAAAGTCACCAAGGATGACATATGAACCTTTTTTTTCAGTTGATAATATTTCTGAAAAGTCATCACTTTTTTCAATTACTGCACCATCCATGAGAATACCATTATGACCTGTTACAATATCAGGTGTCAGAATTTTATCACTTTTCACCAATGGCCAGAAATGAGAGGAGTCCATAAACATATCAGTAGCTATAAATGTAAACTCTTTCAAAAAATTTTAAGAAAATTAATATAAATTATTGTAAACTTCACTAATAAACAAAATTGAATTTCAACATCGTTAACTTTTTAAATTAAAAGTAAAAAGCAATATTTTACCACTGTTAAAAAAATATTTAATCAGTTTCAACTGCCAGCTGTTTTAATTATTTTCAAATAATAAATTTATTTCCGTAAAAAAAAATACAACAAAATGCTTTGATCGAAACTCTCAATTTAACAACCTGATATTTTTAACATCTTTTTGTCATTTATTGGTGTGTTAAAACTATTAGGCAAAATAATACTCTATAAACTAATTATTAAAACAAGATGATTTTCAATAAAACTAAAAATTAAATTAATTGTGCAGATGTATAAACTGTGCTGAATTTTCAAATTGATGATATTAGACTAAATTCATCTTGCAGTTTAAGATGAAAACAAAATTGAACAAATTTCAAACCATAATCATTTAAAACATTGGTGGTAGTTAGCCTTTAAACTATGTTGGTTTTAAACAAAAAAACAAACAAACTATTTATAGGCATAACTGATTCTAAAACTACTTGATAAACAAAAAAGTGGTCCAATATCTCTAGCTAACACTCCAAAAATTTTCTAAACTAAGTAGCAAAAAAAAAATTCAAAAGCAACAACAAAGCAACAGCAAAGTCATTTAATGAATACTGCAGAATAAAAAGAAACTTGTATCATACTGTAAACAAACAAAATAACTAAACAGAACTTCTATGTAGTAACTTTTGGCTTGTCTGAAATGTAGGTGGTCAAAACTATAAAAAAACTCAACTTTATTGTTGACAAAAAAACTAAAATTCAAATTAAGCAATTTACTTGTAACTGGCAATGACTTGTATTAATTAAATGAACTTTATTTAAATGACACATAATTATAATGACACATAATGACACAACATTTAAGGATCAAGTATACAAAGCAAAATACAAGAAAAAAATATTTTTTTCTTGCTCCATATTTTACTAAAAAGTATTGGTAAAATTAGATCAAGTGGAATGAACATAAAGAGATGTACCTCAAACAAGTGTATAATAAAGTAATTAGCCCTTTTTATTAAAGTACATCACAGAATTGATAAATATGTATTTTAGCTTGATTTAGTTTTATCATCATTAAATCACAAATTAGCAACAAGCGAAAAAGACAACAATCTTGATAAATCGTCATAAGCTTGTCCTATTAAAGACATTTTGGCTATTGTAAAATGAGAAATGTACATTGATAATGATGGCCAAATGATGGCTGGATGATGGCCGGATTGCTGATAATATTCTCCAACAGAAACCAGGACAAGAAAAATGTCTGAGAAAAATGATTGTCAAGGTTATACAAAAGTTAGTTTTAAATACACAAAAAACTTAAATAAATACACCTTTATGGACATTAAATAATTTTTTTATTTAAATAAACATTTTTTTCGAAATCAAGTTATATTAAAAAAATAAAGTGCTCTTAGTTTTACTTGATATAAATGTTGTTATTGATAGTTTTTTTGGTAAAGGACAGATGAAAAAAATTTTTATCTGTCCTTTAAACTTTACCTTTTATAAAAACTAACCTAAAATTCCTTGATTTGTAAAATCTTTTTTCATTGCATTGGTATCCAAGTCTCTATTTGCTAAAAACAAAAAAAAAAAAAAAAAATTGTCAAATAACAAAACAAAGAAGAGCTTAAAATAATGGTTTTTCTTCTTTTGAAAAATCAAAAATATTCTAAAATTGTTAAACAAACAGGATATAAAAGCAATGTTATTACTTATTACTACTATATTTATTTAATAATGTTATTCACTTGAAATACCATACTACTATATTTATTTTTATACTTCAATGTATATTTATTATATCGTATTTATTATGGGGTCTACTAGATCACAAAAAGTGAAATCTGTTCTGATAGGTAGTGTACATGATAAAGTTTTCAGTTGCCATGATCGTTTGAGCATTAAGGCTTTGTAGCAGGGGCTTTTTTAAAATCTGTAACTGTAAGAAAAAAGGCATTTGGCATGTGGTTTAGTTTACGTATTAGCAAAAAAAAAATATGGAGGTCCCGAAATTACAAGAACATCCAAAAACATTGGAAAAAAAATTGAATTTTTTTTGCCTAATATGTTATAGAAAGTGACAAAAAATTTTAAAGAATGGCTCCAAATGTGAATCATCTGGCATTTAAAATTTATTATATATATATATATATATATATATATATATATATATATATATATATATATATATATATATATATTATATATATATATATATATATATATATATATATATATATATACAAATATATATTTTTTAAAAAATTTTTAAAAAACCGCAATTATAACAACTAGAAAGTTTTTTTTAATTAGTGGTGTTTTTGTTATTGATTTAATAAAAAACATTTTTTAAACATGCGTAAATGTTGCTATATCGACTATCTTATAGCCTGACTCGCAACGGAGTGCTGCTACATCGACTGACAAATAGCCTGACTCGCAACGGAGTGCTGCTACATCGACTGACAAATAGCCTGACTCGCAACAGAGTGCTGCTACATCGACTGACAAATAGCCTGACTCGCAAGGGAATGCTGCTACATCGACTGACAAATAGCCTGACTCGCAAGGGAGTGCTGCTACAACGACTGACAAATAGCCTGACTCGCAAGAGAGTGCTGCTACATCGACTGAGGGTTTGGTTTGGCCAGGCAGTCTATCAATTTAAACAAAAAAATTTAATTTTTAAAACTTTTTCTGGTCTGGTTTATTAACGCGCTCTTTAAAACTACAGTTTATGGGAAACATTTTTTGATGCCACGCAAGAGACATGCAAGAGTATATATATATATATATATATATATATATATATATATATATATATATATATATATATATATATATATATATATATATATATATATATATATATATATATATATATATATATATATATATATATATATATATATATATATATATATATACATATACACATATATATATATATATATATATATATATATATATATATATATATACATATACATATACATATATATATATATATATATATATATATATATATATATATATATATATATATATATATATATATATATATATATATATATATATATATATATATATATAATCAGTCAGTCACAAAAGTTTTTGTACCCCTTACAATTTAGACAATAAAAAAAAAAACATTTTAAATGCAAAAAAGTAATTTTATATCAAAGTAACAAAAATATATCGTACAAGAAATAAAAAATAATTAACAAAATGTCACAAAAGTTTTTGTACACTAATAAAACTAATATCTAATAATATGCAAGTAGTTGGTTTAAACTTGTTCAAACTTGTTCATTTATAGATTTTTATAAAGGAAATGAGAATTTTTTCACCAAAAATTTAGTTATAAACATGAGTTTAAGTAAGAAACATCACATGTCTAATAACATGCATGAATTAATAACAAAAATGCATAAAGAAAAAAAATCTCTTCGCCAAATTGCCAAAATTGTTGGTAAAAGTCATTCCACCGTTCAAAGTGTTGTTAAAAAATTTGAGATGGCTGATTCTGTTAGTACATTACCAAGAAGTGACCAACCAAAGATGTTGAACTTGAATTGAAAAGATAGTTCATCCAAAAAATATTAGACAAATACTTAGAAAATCCAGATTAAAGAAAACTGTTTATAAGTGTAGAAAATAGACGGAAAAGATTATACAATAAGTAAGAAAACGAAGATGAACAATTTTAGAACAAAGTTTTATTTACTGATGAGAATAAACTTAACATTTTTGGACCTGATAGCCGTGGAAAAATATGGAGAAAAAAGAATACAGAACTAGAAGAAAAACATTCCAGCAGTGAAATATGGAGGTGAAAGTGTGATAGTTTGGTGATTGATGGCTGCAGCTGCAGTAGGGAGTTTGGTATTTATTCAGCCTTAAATGGATCATTGGGTATATTTCAACATTATAAAAAATAATTTAAAATCAGATGATGCTAAATTAAAGTCAGGAAATAATTGGATATTACAACAGGATAAAAATCTGAAACACACTCCTCATATCATGGTTGCTCTACAATATTCCAAAACAACTGCATTCTTCTCCCCAATCAACTGACTTTAACTCAATAGAGTATGTGTGGGATTATTTAGACATATCAGGAAACATACTACAACAAATGTTAATATGCTAAAAAATATCTTACTAGAAAAATAGATTAAAATTCTGTCTTCTTATACCAAATAATTAGTGTCATCAATGAACATTAATGAAGATTAAAAGCTTGTGTAAATGCCAAAAGATGCTCAACAAAATTTGGGTTTGGTTAGGTTTTGGCTATTTGTAGTGAGTCCTTTTTTACTGCAGTATGTAAGTCGCGGGATAAAGCACAAGTGGCAATGACGTTTGTCTGACGGGATAAACTAGTTATAAGTGCTGATCCTCATAAAAACGCCAGTAATAATAGACTCTGAGGAGATGTTTATTACTTAATCACTACACTAATTATGTTTACACATTAATATTAATGTTTTTTTTCCATTCTTAGGCATTCCTTTGTTGTTAGCTACTTTTTATTTTGTAATCAATTTTTTGTTTTGTAAGTTTTTGTCTGGGGATATATTTTTGTTGTATATCTTCATTCATATTAGTGTTTATAAAACAATTTGTTTTTTATTAATATTGTTAAGTACTGTTTTAGGGGCATTGTCTGTCTTATTTATTTTTAAATATTCCTCTATTAATCTTTATTTTTGTCTTGACAACGGTCAAAATATGCTTTGTTCAAAAAATAATTCTCCTTTACTCTAGTGTACTTCATTTCTTCCCTCAAGCGTTCACTGCTCGTGTGTGACCATTCGGCAAATTTTATATGCCAAAATTTTTAAATAATGCCAAAAGATGCTCAACGAAATTATAAAGATTTTTTAATTTTTCATATTTTTGTTTTTTTTACAAGTTTTGTAATTAATGTATAAAAACTTTTGTGACATAAATTCAAAAATTAAACTTTTTCAGTTATAGAAATAAATATTTTAATTTAGTTATTTATTTTTTGTTTCTTGTATTATATATTCTTGTTACTTTGATATAAAATTATTATTTCGCATATATATATATATATATATATATATATATATATATATATATATATATATATATATATATATATATATATATATATATATATATATAATAATAATAATTATAACTAATTTTATGACTTTTAAATTTATGTTGTTTTTATTTTTGATTTTTTTGTCATTTCAAGAATATCAAAAATAAAATTTTGAGTTAAAAAAACTCAACAAAAACCATTTTCAACATATTTGTTACATTATTGAAATCATACAAAAAATAATTAAATAATTGCAATAAATAATTGTGGACACTTACAATCACTATTTACATTATTATTTGATGTAACTTGAGCAACAGTTGTTTCACGATCATTTGTCTCTAAAAGGAAGAAAATAATTAATGGTCTAAAAGAAAAAGAGCAAATAAAGATATCACTAACTGCATTTTCTTTTTATAATATCAATACTTTATTCTTTATATCAATATTTTATTCACTACAATATTATTCTGTTATTCTCTATAATAATAGTTTTTGGCTCTCCATAATATTAACATGTTATTGTTTAAAATATCAATGTTTAAATTCCTATAATGCCTTACTCTCCATAATGCTTTATTTCTATAACACTAATACTTTATTCTCTATAATATAAATGTTTTTTTCTATATATTTTTTATGTTCCGTTTTGTATTATTCAATGTTTTTATAATAAACAATTTTTTTATAATTTATGATTTTTCACTTTCTTTTTTTTCAAAATCATATGACCATTAGAGTTGTAAACAGCTAGAGGGACCTTAAAGTTTTTTTAATATACATTTACATTTAAATTATTTTTTTAAAAACACATTTAAAATACATTTTTAATTTTAAAAAATTGGTAAGAAATCATTAAAATTAATAGCAATTAGTTTTTTGTTAAAATAAAAAAAATTAACAAATAATGTTAAAAATTATTTTACTATAAAATCTTTATTATAAAAACGTTTTTTGCATACTTCTACAATAAAATACAAAATTTACTTAAAAAAGTTTGAGTGAATATTCTGAGAAAAAAAATTCTGAGCCAAAGTTATTGGATTATATATATAATTATAATTAAAATTCTGAGCCAATTATGTTTACATTATTTGTAAAAAAGACTTTAGTGCAAATCAATTTAAAAAAATATTTTTATTATTTTATTCATGTAAATAAATATATATTTTTTTATAATCATATATAATAGTCATATAAGTCTAAAAAGAAAAAAGGAAAAAAAATCAACATTTTGTATAATAATATTATATGATTGTATTATCAAATAAAATCCATTTTGTACAATAATTATGTTCCATCATGTATACTATTTATGAAAAATAATGTTGTTGCATTATACATGTTAAGATGCATTTTTACGTTCTAATCATGTTCTAAATTAACTATATGTACTAAATATGCTCTATTTAATACAATAATTATGCTAAATTATGTACAATAATTATAATAGATTACATATACTAACTATTTAATATTATATTACATTTATTATTATTTTTTATTTATTACTATAACTAATATGATTGTTTAACTAATAAGTAAGTAATAGAGAATTACCTTTAGTGTTGTGTAAAAAAGTGTTATCACTTGGTGTTTTGTTAAAAAGTTAGTTAACTCATTGGCGTTGTGTGGGTTAAAATGAGCAATCTCTTTGATGTCATGGTTACCACTTTGAAGTCATTGTTAGCTTTATAGTGTCATGGTTAGTGAAAGAGTAATAACGTTTTGATATTACTGACACAATAATCACAAAATATGACAAGATGCTTTGAAAAGGACTTTGAATAACTTTAAAAAATCAAATGCCTTGCATTGTGTTCTTTAAACTAACTATTTTCTAACAAAATAATTTTGGTATTTAAAATATTTAATATTTACTACTTTTTAACAAAATCTGTATTAATATTTATAATATTTACATTTAGTAATAAAATTTCAGATTATAAAATGAAAAGCAAGAAGTTTTAATTTACCAAACAAATTTTTTAAAAATATACAGTAAAATATTTTGTGAAAACTTTATTACAAATAAGATTTTACATAATAATATAGATATATCACAAATAGCTTTTTTTCTAAGGTAATGCCAAAAGGATTTTTTTTCTTCTTCTTTTTCTTTTTCTCCTAATAATACTATAACTTTTCTGGATACCATATCAAGCATACCTTGCTGGATACTATATTAAGCATATCTTGCTGGATTTCATGTCAAACCATAGCTAAATTTTTTGTCCATAAGCATCTCAAAGAATTTGTGCATGGAAATTTTTTATTGCATGATATACATGGTGTTTAAAGATATTAATAGTTTAAAAAATTAAATAGATTTTTATTCTAATTGCTTTAAAAATTGAAATTTTTGAACAGTAATAAAAATATTTTTCAAAAATTATTTTATCTCTTTTTAAGCCCTGAATGATATTAAATTTTTTTCTTTAAAACAGATATTTAGGAAAAAAGAAAAAAAGAAAAAGCTTCTTTCATAACTATAAAAAAAAGAAGCTTATTGGTTATGATAAAGAAGCATGGGGTTAAAAAAAGCCAAAAACCTAATACACATATCTATACTCGGAAAGTTTATTCCTACTAACAGTAACATCAAATGAAAATCTTAAACTATTTTGCTATAAAAACATCCATGTTTACAGTTCATAGTTTATACATAATCCATGTAACCAAGGTTACTTCTACAACTCAAACTCAAAACTTGATATATTTGATAAACTTTAAAAAAATAATTTTAAGTTCACAGCAATTCATTTTCTTTTTTTATCAATTCATTTTTTATCAAACTTCATTGGCCAATCAATTTCAGCAAAAAATTGATGGCAGCATCGTACTGACCAAATAATAGCGTGCATCTGACCAACCAATCAAAAATAACCATTGGATTTTGTGATCATGAGTATACACCTAAAAAGTGTTTTTAGTAGCAGTTATGGGAAAAAAAACTGTAATGAATTATGTCAATGTAGATTACTCATAATTATATATTATAAATTATTTATAGATATTTTATAGTATATTAGAAAAGCTTCAAGGTAACTCATTCAAAACTGTGTACTCTAAACTGTGTACTCTAAAAAAACTGTTAAGTATGCTTTGAAACTGCTTTATCTAACTCTGAAATTCATGTACTACCCTACTGGCAAATTTCCTAATAAAAAAATACAAACTAATAAATATCAATATCAAATGTATAAAATGGTTATAAAAGATGTTTTTTTTTTTAGATGGTTGTGAGGTATGCAAATGTGTTCTGAACTAGCTAAGGCTATTTTTATAACTTTTAAAAAATCAAAAAATTAAAAAATCAAATATTTAAAAATCAAATATTTAAAAAATCAAAAAAATAATACCAAAATCTTCAGATCAAATTAAAGATTTTTTTTTCATTGAAAACCTTTCCTCAAATGTTACATTTTTTGAAATTTAACATTTCAAAAAATGTAACATTTTTTGAAATGTTAAATTTCAAAAAATGTTACATTTTTACAAAAATAACGCACAGTTTTTATAATAAATTAACCTTCATTATAATCAAAGAATTTTCATCACAACCTTGAATATAAGATATTTTTGTGGAGTAGGGGGTATGGTAGACAAACTAGACTTGTTCGACTTGTAAATGTACTCCAATTGTGTTCATTAAAAAAAAAGTTTTCTCACATAATAGAACACTTTTCTACAGATAAAACCACATAATTAAAAACAAATGTTTTTTTGAACCACTTATATAAAAGTATCTTTACATACTTAGCTTTGCATGGAAAATCATTGATGAGCACGGATACCCTGAAGGTCACCTAAGACATGGAATTTTATTTTTGATTTTAAAAGAAGTCTACTTGCACATTCTAAAACTTTTAAAATTCAAATCATGCGTTGGTAGATTTTTGAGAAAACTCTACTGTAAGACTTGTTTTAACTAAAGATTAGGCCCCCTCTGACACACCTTCAAAACCTAGCGAGGAGATCATATAGCAATACTTGATTTGTTTGGCTGTTTGACTAAGTATAATTTTTTTTATTGAGGGAGTGAATTTTTTTATTTACAGTAATTTAGTGGCTTAGCCTAAAGCTTTTAATGTGGCTTAGCCTAAAGCTATCAATTTGGGATAAAAAATCTGAAAAAAAAGTATTTTTTCTAGAAAAGAAATATTTAGTACAACATTAATATTATACTTAACTAAAACTATAAAGTACATATATTTGTTTGCCAAAACTGTTTAAAATCTTAATAAACTGATTCCAATGATTGCTAAATCCAATACCTTAAACCTTCATCTTATTTAAGAAAAAATTTTTTATAAGAAAAAATCTAAAAGTTAACCATTAATTTTTAAACCTTTTTTCCTTCTATAACTATAAACTCTTCTCCATGGTGCTTCTCTATGGTGCTTCTCCATAGTGTTACACTATAGGAACTTTAAGAGTGATGTTTGATCCGTGATCTCTGAAACTTTGTAAAAATCTTTTTATTAGTCATAGTAGTCATAGTATTGGTTGCTATGGCATTGTTTTAATAATTTGGCACATAATGCCAAATCATCTTAATTTTAGGATTCAATGTTTTTTTAAAGCATCCATAAAGCTTTTATAGACCTTTAAAATTATTGTGCTCGTCCTGATAAATATGCAGTTCATTTTATCTTTATAAGACATACTGGTAAGGTTTATTGTTGACAGATGACTATTTAAAAATAGAAACACCCAATTAGTGTTCTCAAACAAATTTTCATACTAATCCCTTGAAACTTCACATTCATCAGAATACTTTTGTCCTGTTTTTTTCGCCTAAATGTAGATCTAGCTCTGATTACAAAGTAATTTATAAGTTAACCTTTAGATTACTTTTCACTCCATCTACCCCAACTTTAACATCTATATTCTCTGATATAAATGAACTGTTGTAAAACTGTTGAAACTAATTCATCAACAAAAATAAAAAATTATTTCTGTTGCATATTCGGAAATAATTTTTTCAATATATAAACAATAACAAAAAAATGTTGAGTAACTTAATAACCTTTTATTTTATATTATCAACTTTTAACATTAATCAAAATATTGATATATATATATATATATATATATATATATATATATATATATATATATATATATATATATATATATATATATATATAACATATTACTATTGTAAACCTTTTTATTAGGGCTAAAATCACAAGTAAAAATAAAGCTACATGCGATGAATAAAAATAAAACTACATGCAGTGAATAAAAAGGTCTTAGAAAATACTTTTTCTAAACTCAATAGATTTTTTTTGCTCATAGAAAAAATATTTCAAGCAGATCATGGTTGGCCAAAGCAAGAAAAAAATTCTGAAAATCTTATCAAGAAGTACTTTTGGGAAAACTGCTATGTTAATTTTTTTCAAACAGAATATACAAATTATTTTCGAAAACTTGTGATTTTTAGCAAAGTATGTTTTTGAAAACTTGTGATTTTAAGCAAAGTATGTTTTCGAAAACTTGTGATTTTTAGCAAAGTATGTTTTCGAAAACTTGTGATTTTAAGCAAAGTATGTTTTCGAAAACTTGTGATTTTTAGCAAAGTATGTTTTCGAAAACTTGTGATTTTTAGCAAAATATGTTTTCGAAAACTTGTGATTTTAAAGTTTATTTCTTGATCTAGAACTAGTTCTCACAATTTCTCACAATTCACAAAAGAATTTCTAACTTGTTAAAACTGAAGATAAAAATAATTTCTAACTTGTTAAAACTGAAGATAAAAAGAATTTCTAACTTGTTAAAACTGAAGATAAAAAGAATTTCTAACTTGTTAAAACTGAAGATAAAAAGAATTTCTAACTTGTTAAAACTGAAGATAAAAAGAATTTCTAACTTGTTAAAACTGAAGATAAAAAGAATTTCTAACTTGTTAAAATTGAAGATAAAAAGAATTTCTAACTTGTTAAAATTGAAGATAAAAAGAATTTCTAACTTGTTAAAACTGAAGATAAGCATGAAGTTAGAAGATAAAACATATCAAACCATCATTTTTTTAATAAAACTTCTGAACAAGATAGTTAACAAATAAAATCTAAAGTTATTAAAATTAACTCAAGCAAGTTTTCTCAAAAAAAGCAACAAATGATTAAAGTTTTTACAGTTATAGAATGCACAAGTAGACTACTTTCAAACTCAAAAAAATGCCAACAAACAATGAAAAAATTTTTTCTCACAAAGATAAAACAACTAGTGATGAAAACATATTATCTATTAATGTATATCATCTATCAATTAATAATAAACAAATCTGCTCATCAAGAATGAAATTAAATTCTAAATCTTTTCACAGTAATTCTAATAGAATTTGTTTTCATCAACTTTAGTATAATCATGTTTCTGGGCAAACAAGTCTGGCCTTCTTCACTAAACAATTTTTTTTTTAAAAGGAGCTTACCACTAGAAGGGAAATACATGAAAGACATTGTATGATGTTCTTTACAGAAATATGGTACATTATTACATCTGACAATTAAATCAATTGCACTGGCCAAACAGATCATGTTAACCAATAACCACTCTTCTATGTTATTATATGAAAATTTTATCATAAGCCACAAATAGTATGAGTTTATTGATAAATGTTGTACTACCTTTTTCAATAGACTCGTTAGATATGTGATGAATAAATGCTTTTGAGATTTGAGGTTTTAACCATGTTTAGAGGATAATTACTAAAACACAGCTGATAATGTTTCAAACTTAACACCATCTAAATCTCATTACACCATCATCACTTGACCTCATTATTAGAAATTTAATTTACTCCGCGCAGCGGTCTTGCTTGTCAAGGTTTGTGTTTTGGAGTTAAAGAGTTGAGAGAGGGTTGTACCACGATTTACAACAAAAAAAAAAATAAATAAAAAAAAATTAAAAAAAAAATTAGTAGCCTCCTCGACTGTAGTGAAAAAAAAAAATTTAAAAATATTTTCACAAATATTTTCAACTTCTTTTCTTTATATAATACAGACATACATACATATATACATACATACATGCCAATTTTTTTTTTCTTTGAGAAACCTTTTATGTGTCAATTGTTAAAGATTAGCAAGTGTTAAGATTATCAAAGATTCAAGAATGTTTTAATGAAACTTGTTTGGAATGTTTTAATGAAACTTGTTTGGAATGTTTTAATGAAACTTGTTTGGAATGTTTTAATGAAACTTGTTTGGAATGTTTTAATGAAACTTGTTTAGAATGTTTTAATAAAATTTGTTTGGAATGCTTTAATAAAACTTATTTGAAATGTTATCTATATAGTGTTAACTATATATAGTGAAATTTTTTTCTAGTAACTATGAATAATTATTATAAATGTTTTTTATCAATGTTATAATTATTATTATTGATAAAATTTAAATTATTTTGAATATCATATAATATTAATAATATTAATATTATTACAACTTTTACAATTATAATTTATAAAATTAATACCACTTGTAAAAATATTTTAAAACTATTACTGTTAATTAAAATAATATAAAACTATAACCATGGTTGTAATGTTTGAAAAATATAATTTTTTTTTTTTTAATATTTTAAGTTGTTTGAAAAATTTTAAATTTTTTAAATTTTATTTATAACTAGGGATGTACCGAAAATCTGGCCAGATTTTTTTTCTTTCAGATCAGTTTGCTTCTGTTGTTAAACTTTTTTTTTTACTTTTTTTTTATGACATGTGACACAGGCTGTGTAAATAAATCAAAAAATCATTATCCTACAGAGCAATGAAGAACTTTAAGTAAACTGAGGTAAAAAATACAAATACTATTTTTGCAAATGTATTTCCAGTACTACTATTTCTTAAAATAAACTTACATTCATATTTATAACCTTGGTTCACCTATAGTTCTTCATTGCTCTACAGGATAATGATTTTTCAATTTATTTACACAGCCTGTGTCACGTCATAAAAAAAAAAGTAAAATAAAAAGTAAAAAAAAAAAAGTTTTACTATAGCCAGAAGTGAATTGATCTGAAAGAAAAAAATCCGGCTGGAATTCAGGTACATCCTTATTTAAAGCAGTTCTATTTCTTCTTCTTATAATTTAGTTATTTTTATGATATTATTATTAATAATTATATATTATTAATACTTTCTGATATTATTATTAATAATTATATTATTAATACTTTTTCTACTGAAATTGCTGTATTAATTTGTATTAAACATACTGTAAATCTTTTTGAAATAAAGATATCAAACTTAATTTTACTAAAAAAAAATAATAAAAAACTTAAATAAGTAAAACTTTTAATAAATATTTCTTAATAATAATTTTTTTCATAATATTTCTTACCAGTTGCTAGGTCATCTTTACGAGTTTCCATGTCTATAAGCTTATTATCCATTGATACATCTCGTATATCACCTTTCATTGATATATCTCGTATATCACCTTTTCTTTCATGCAAAGTTTCATGAGTTGCTATGAAACGACGTGATGCATTTGCCTCTGTATTATCTTTTGATTGGTGTGAAGAACTCTCTTGATGAATCTTTGATGGTCCTGTCTGAATTATATCTGCGCTTTTGAATGAACTTTCTTCATGTTGTTTGAAATCTTCTGGAGCTACCTCAATATTTTTATCTTCAACATCTTTTTTAGCTAAACTTTTACCATTATCTTCAAATTTTTTAATATCTTCATCAGAATTAGGTCTTTTATCATCCACATATTTAGATTTATGAAAATACAGCTCTTTTGAGTGGTCATCTAAAAGATCAACAACCCCCTCAGAGCGCCTTAATTCATGGTCAGAGTCTAAAGCTTCAGTTTTTCTTCTCCCTTCATTTAACACAATTTCATCATTACTTGTTTTTGAATTTTGTTCAAATCTCAATATGTTACCCGATTTGAGAACATCTTCTTTACTTAACTTCCTTTCGGCACCAGATATTTTTTCAGATTCTATTGTACCTTGACTCTTTATGGAATCAAATTTTTGAGCTTCTTCAAGTCGTTTTTGAAACATAGATGCTTCGTCATTTCCATGATAAAAGTTTTTATCATTTTTGGTTTCAACTTCATACAGAGGAGCCATAGAGTCCTCATGTAAGCTCTCAACATTTCTTGAACTTTTTAAACGGTCTTTATTTTCTTCTTGCTCATTCTCGTTTGTTTTCAGATTATCTGAAGTTTTAGAGTCTGAATCTTGATCCTTTGGTTTTATTTGTTGAAAAATAGTTTTATCTTCTTCATTATTTTTGTTTGAATTCTCTTTAGTTTCACTTTCCTTATTTTGAATCTTTTTTGATTTAGAAAAATCAAATTTTTTATCGTTTCTTTCATCAAAACTTTCTTTCTCAAAAGTCTCTGTACTATTTTCATCATGTTCATTTTCACTTTTTAGGGTTTCCTTAGAAGAATCAAACTTGTAAGACTTCCCACTTTTTTCATTTTGAAATTTATTTTGCTTTTCTTTAAGATATGAAGCTTTAACATCTTTTTCTTGGTTATCTTCATGATTATTGCTACCAAGCTTTGCTTCATCTTTCTCTTCATAGGTTGCACCTTTATTTTTTACTTTTACTTCAGAATAATTTTCGTCTTTATTGTCTTTACTATCAAACTCTTCTTTGTTATTATCTTTAACTGTGCGATTGTCTTCATAATCTTTAGATTTTTTGTTTTGTATTGGATCATAACGCTGCTCACCTTCCTGCATTTTGTTCATGTCTTCTTCTTCCTTAAATTTCTTTTCTTCATAATTTTTTTCTTCTCTTGATTTGTCTTGATCAATTTTCTCAGTTTCTTTTTCAACTTTTCTTATACTATGAGTAGCTTTGTTTTCTTCATTTGCACCTTTTAATTCTTCCTTTACTTTTCCTTCTTTATTATCGTTAAAGGATTGGTAATCTTCTTTATATTCTTTGGAATAATCTTTTTTATTACTAGAGTGTTGATAATCCTTAGTTGCCTCAAAAGCTTCATTCTGATTTTTGTTTAAATCTTGGTCGCTTACTTGGTCGCTAACTTTATTTTTGTTCTTGTTTGAATTTTTTATTTTCTTCCCCATATTTTCAGCTTCATTTCCAATATCCTTTGCCATATTTTCATTTCCAGTCTCCTTTATGATATTTTTATTTCCAGTCTCATTTGCAGTACTTTCATCATCACCTTTTTTTTCCTGTTTATTATTCTCATAATGATGAATATCTTCTTCCAGCTCGAAATGCTCATTTCTATTATTTTCTTTTTCCTTTGAAGTTAATTTATCAGATTTCAGTGTAATAGGTGTCTCATCAAGTTTGGCATTGACTTCATTACCAAGGCCTTCATGATTGTTGTTCAAATTTTCCTAAAATTAGACATTCCTTAATTTAAAAAATATTTGATATTTTATAAATGAAAACTTAAATTTTTTGCTCATATTTTTTAACCTCAATATAAATGTTAATAAATAAAATCAAAAAAAAAAAAAAAATTACCTTTCCTCCCTTTAAGTAATCAATCTTGCTGTCATGAAGCACTGGAGTATCATCTAGAACAGATGGCAATTCTTTGTCAGCAATTGTTTGCATAGCCTTTGATATAATTTGAAATGATGATCTTTCTGGGTGAGTTTGTACATCATCACTTATAAGCATGTTTCGTTGTAGCTTACCACCTTTTGGATTCTCCTTTAAACTACCATGTGTATCTTTTGAAGTCTCTTCCCCAGATAATTTCCCTTTTTGTTCTGATTTGTTCTCTCCCATACCTTTCTTTTTATCTATTTTTTGGGGTTTATTAAACTCTTTAGGCTTTAAAATACCTTCAGAAACAACATTTGAATAACCTTTGTATTTTACTATTTGAGAAGCATCTTCTTTAGCTAGAGAATTATCTTCTTTGGTTAGAGAAGTATCTAAGAGTGGTATTTGTTGCAATGAACCATCTGAATTTCCATGAACATAGTTACCTAAGTTGATTCCTAGCTGGAGAGAATCCATAGAATGTTCTGGTCTAAAAGTATGATCTAAACTTTGATGTTGTTTGGTTGAATCAAGAAGTTGGTTATCAGCATTCATAAGAGTTGCTTGTATTGCATGCAACTGTTCCTGGTCTTCTTTTGTTAAATGTTGGTTAACAATACTTGCTATTTCATCTTGATGATCATCAAAATGTGATATATCTTCATGTACTTTTTCTTTTTCTTCATCAAGACGAAGTTGAAGTGACTCTTCAGCAGTAAAGGCATGATGTAACTTATTTACTGGTTCAATTGGATCAGCTTGAAAATGAGCTAATTTTTCATCAGGAATATGTAATACCTTTAATTGCTTTAAATTATCTTCAAATTTTCCTAACACTTGACCAGTTACCAGGCCTTTATCAATTATTTTTTCACTTCTTGAATCAGCGGCAAGACTATTTCCTGCTTGAGCAGATAAACTATGGGGCAAAGTTTTGTGATCATTCCCTTCTTTTTCTTTTGAAAAACTTTCTGAAATCCCTTGTTCCCCTTTATCTTCTTTCAAAAATTCTTTTTTAGAATCTGAAAAAGCCTGGTTAAATACCTCTGTTGACGGTTGCTCATCTACACCTGAGAGTTGCTTTCCTAAAGAAACTTTTTCTGCATTCAATTTAACCTTTGGAAACTTTAATCTTTCATGCGATTCATGCGAATCTTCATCACCAGAGTCAAGCGACTTTTGTTTTTGAGTTGTTGTCACATAATGACCTTTTTCGACAGTATTTCTGTCTTTATCAAATTCATCAGTTTTAGAATCACTGTATAAAGAATATCTCAGTTTTGGGTGCACTGATACTTGCGTGTCCTCAGAAATTTCTTTCGAGTTTTCTTTATGAAATTGCAAACTTCCTCTGGGATCATCATAGACTAATTTTGAATTTAAATTTTCTTTATTAACTGCTTTTTGTTCATTTTCCTCTTCCTGAAAACCTTCTTTTCTTTCTTTCTGTGCATTAACTTGGTTTTCATTTTTTTTATTTCTCACTTTTGTTTCTCTAAAATCATTTTCTTCTTTTTCATCTCTATTATCTTCCTTTTCACTATTTTTTTCATTTTCTGTTCTTAATTTGTCATTTTCTTTTTCATCATATTTTTCTCTTTGGTTCTCTAAAAACCGCTCGCCTTGGGATTCCTCTAACTTTTTGTTACCATAATCCCCTTGTGGCTCTTCTAACTTCTTGTTACCATAGTCACTTTGTGATTCCGCTAACTTCTTGTTACTATAGTCACTTTGTGACTCCTCTAACTTCTTGTTACCATATTCATTGTTTTCATAATTATTTTTTATTCTTGGTTTTTTATTATGTATTTCATTATTTGCCCTCTCTCTGTCGTTAGATTGTTCAAAATTTGATTGATGACTACCATGGTTATTTCCTTGCTCGGCATCTGAGAGAGACTGATACTCTTGATTTTCAATTTTTTTAGTATTTGTTGATGATTTTGACAACTGTTTGTCATCAGAGGAATAGGACTGACTACCATCTTCATTTTCAAAACCAATTTTTTCATAAGTCTTTTGATTTTTTAAATGTTTATTTTTTTCTCCTAAAAAATCTGAATTGCTTGAAGAAAGATCATTTGAATCTTCTTGCTGTTTAAATGAAGTTCTTTCTTTACTGTTAAAAATAAAGTCATCACTTTCTTTATCTTTATTCTTATAGCTATTAGTATATGTGTTGTCATGGGGATAATCTCTAGAACCTTCTAATCTTCCTTGAAGTTTCTGATGTTCCTGGTCATGTTCTTCAGAATGGTAATTTTTATCAGAGGTTTCAAGTCTATTATTATATTTAGTATCTGCATAAATACTTTCAACATTAGCATCCTCTTTCAATGGATCATGATGTACTTCAGTAACAGCTCCATCTTCATCCTTTGAAGCTTTCATTGTTTGCATAGCTAAAATTAATATGAATAAAAAATATAATAAGTATAACTAATAATATATAAGTATAACTTAGTATAACTAAGACATTTTTTATCCCTAAAACTATTAAATTAGATCATAAGACACTCAACACTTTTAGAGCTAATAAACACCAGAGACTAAAAAAAAATAAAGATTTAAAGCCTGACTCTGCATCCCTGTTTCCTGTTCACATTGGGTTGTTTTGGGTCAACTGTATTCAGTTATGTCTTTGTCTTATACAATATACCTACCAACTAACTACCTTCTCTAAATTTGGGTTTTTTTCCTGCTAACCTCTAATTTATTTATTAATTTTCCTCAGTATTTTTGATATCTGATATCTCTAATTTATTTATTATTTTTCCTCAGTATTTTTGATATCTGATATTCCTTAATCATTTGTTATTAGTTTTTTTAATAGTTTTATATAAAAATATATATTAATCAAATCAAATTAAAAAAGTTCAATAATAGATAAAGTTTAGTAACAATAATAGTGTTAAATAATAAAAAATAATAGTAATAAATAATAAACCTTTGCAAAAAAAAATTGAAATCTGTAACATAATTAGTGTATAGCTAACTCTATTGGCTGTTTAACGAATGTTAAACAGCCAATAGAGTTAGCTATACACTAATTATGTTACAGACAATATTACATTAATATTAACTAACAGTTAATATTAATGTAATATTTATTACCTTCACGGCTTCTTGCAGGGTAAAAGCTTGGTGTTTCTTTTTGACGTAATTCATGTATAGGGGACGAGTCCTCCATCGGTGGATGAGGATTATCTAATGGTAATGTTCGCAAGAAATGATGCCTGTTTCCTTCAACTTCACTCTTTCTATGCCACTACAAAAACAAGTAGTTACTTTTTATTTTATTCATATAAATAAATAAATAAATAATATATATATATATATATATATATATATATATATATATATATATATATATATATATATATATATATATATATATATATATATATATATATATATATGAAACATTTTAAGAAAAAATCTAAAGAATATAGGCTGTCACTTAAAAGATAAAAAATTTTATGCAAAAGTCAATGATCCACTTGATGGCTTAACAACACAAGGGTATCAAAATAAAATTTTAGATTTAGTTTTAAGGTACTTAACGGACCAAATTTTTGGGGAAGAAACATTATTTCAAAATATATCTTAAAAGATGTCAGTTTTTATTTTAGAATCACTTTATTGATTCAACAAACTGATTTCAAAATAAAAGTTAAAAGAATTTAATTATGTAACAATGTGTATGTTCTCTGTATGTTCTTTAAGAAACTAAGTTTTTTTTTTTTTTAAATTTGGCAACTCATTTATTATGTTGCCCAAGTGACACTAGTTAATTTGGTTCAAAAATTATTTCTTCAAAATAAATCAAAATAAATGCAGAATAAAAATTTGAAGAAAAAAAAAAATTTTATTAACTAAAAGGTATTCAGAAAGACATTTACTACATTTTTATTCAATACGTATTCCCTCATCATCAACCACAGTTTTAAGATGACTTCTGAACCTGGAACAGGAGGTCTGGATATAGTCCTTGGACATCTTGTTCCACTCCTTTTTGATGACAGCCTTCAGAGAGTTGACACTGTTGTGAGGACATTGATAAGCCCTTGACTCTACATACACCTAAATTGAATAGTCAAGTGGTGACAAATCTAGAGATCCAGGTGGCCATAACACTTTTGACCAGTGTTTTATTGCAAGTTTTATTAGAGCCACCTCTAGGTCTTATGGGATGTATGTGGTGGTGCTCCATTGTGCTGGAACACCAAATTGTCATCTGGAGAGTAGTGGGTATCAATCCAGGACTTGACATGGTTGTCCAGGATTCGAATGTACTCATTGGCGTTGACTTTCTGACTAGATTTGATGAAAACTGGAGACATTTTGAGGCCATCAGATGACACCAGGCCAAACATCATAACTGAAGCTTGGTGTTTGGTCTTGAATGTAACTCTATATACTTTGGGACTAATTGGACTGGTTGATTATTTACAAAATGATCGGTTGTACTGTTTGATACAGAATCAACAGTAAACAATTTCTCATCTATAAAAAGGGCATTGATCTCTTTTTCAAGTAGCTCAAAAGTTTTTTTGAACTTTTTTTTTATGACATGTGACACAGGCTGTGTAATTAAACTAAAAAATCATTATCCTACAGAGCGATGAAGAACTATAAATCTAGGTAAATCTAGGTAAAAAAAAAACAAATGTAATTTTATTTGCAGAAATAGTAGTACTGCAAATACATTTGCAAAAACAATTGTATTTTTTACTTAGGTTTACCTATATCACTGCTCAGTAGGATAATGATTTTTTGACTTATTTACACAGCCTGTGTCACATAACATAAAAAAAAGTAAAAAAAAAATTTAAATCCAGCCTGAAGCAAATTGATTAAAAAGATTCCGGCTGGAATTCCGGTACATCCCTAGAAATTACCAATCTTATTACAAGATTTGCAATCACATACAGTAGACCAACCATCAATCCACCTGTCGGACAATTTCAACTGATTAGGTTTTTCACTAGCTTTATGTTTTGAATCACATTACGCATCATAAAGTTCTTCAGCTTTTTTTTTAAAAATAAATCTCAGAAGTTCTTTTAAAGTAGATATGACAGATATATAATGTAATCAAATAAAGATGATCTAACCTTATGATTGATGGGCCAGCTGCTAATAATCCAAACTTGCTTTGACTGCAATTGCCTTCTATTGAAAAGTTGCTTTATATTTTATATCTTATTTTGATTTTAATTTATAGCTGAAAAACTTATTTTAATTAACAGTGTTTATTAAATTTGAAGCAACAAAACACTTAATAAAAAACAATCAAACAAAGTGGTATTTCATTTTGTTGTTGAAAAAAATTCTTAGGTGATTGGCGCCATAGGTATACACACTAATTTTTTTTAAAGGCCTTTAAGATAACATATTAATTTGTGTGACATTGATGATAACTTGTCAAGCGTAGTGTGGAAAAAATTTCATTTATACTAGAGTATATAAATAAACTTAAAAAAAGTATATTCGTTTTCTGTAGTGTGATTAACTAGGTTTTCTGTAGTGTGATTAACTAGTGTAATTAACTAGGTTTTCTGTAGTGTGATTAACTAGATTTTCTAGTTAATCACACTACAAGTTTATTTTAAAAGACAAACAATGTTTTGAATTCCCTGTTTCGCAAAATATTTGTAAAAGGTTACTAAATTAAAAAAAAAACTGAAAAAATAATTTTTTATAGATAAGGTTACAGTATAGTAGAAAATTTTAGCTTTTTTAGATAAGGTAAGGTTTTAAATAAAGTAAGGTAAATTTAATTTGTTTTTTTAGATAAAGTAAGGTTATAGAATATTATATAAAATATTAGAACCAACAACTTAAAAATATTAGAACCAAGCAACGGTTTTATGTAATCAAACATTTCATTGATGCACATATTGGTTAAACAAACTCTCTTTCATATTTCACCGTGTAAGTTTTAAATTTAAGGCATATTTATTTAATTTCAGGGTAATACACCCTGAAATTTAATAAGTAAACTCATTTATTAATAGCAAAATTAATGAAACTTTGCTGTTTGTTTAAGCTGTAAAATTTTTCACATGTTGATAATCCTTATAATTTAAATCAGATTCCTAGTGAATTTTTAGGACATGGAAGATTTGAAATTTTTTAAAAAGCTGCCACTGACATGGCCATATGACTGAGTTATATGGCCATATGACTAGCTGAAATAAATGTACAAACCTATTTGAAACTCATTTTTTTTTAAATCTATGTTGCATATGAGAAATTATGAGCAAAAAGCAACAACTCAATAAAATGCATGTAACAAAATAATTTGATTTACCCTAAACAACATAGTCTATAAAAATGTTGTGTGGCTTTTGGCTTGGATAGGAGGGGAAAAATTCAAAGTATCAAAGGTAATTGAGAAGATATCTTTTGAGGAATGTCAAAATAAAAGTTGAAGTCAACAAACCATCAGAATAAGTATCATAAGAGACATAAAAATGTCCACACAAAAATTTTAAACTGTATTTGATTAATTTAATTGTTTTGATACTATAATAAATATATATTTATATATATATGTTTATTTTTATTTTATCATATTTACGTATTTATTTATTTTTATTTTATCATACTTATATATTTATTTATTTTTATTATATCATATTTACATATTTTTTTATTTTTATTTTATCATAATTATATTTAAATTTGATTATGATAATTGTTAGAAACAACGAAAAATGAAAATAAAAAACAAATAAAAACTTAAAACTTTAATTTTTTTTTTAAAAAAAAAATTAAAAAAAAACAAACTTTTAGACAATTTTCAATGTGAAAAGTATAAATAAATAAATTGGAACAAATAAAGACATAAAATCAAATAAAAATAAATGAATAAAAAGTGTTTAAAAAACAAAACCTTATTTTTTTTGTGTGAAATAGCAGGGCGTGGAATATTGTATCTTGTAACTCCCATCACATTTTTGTATGAAGGCTCAACAGCAAATTTGTACATGTTGTAAAATGCAGCAGTTTGAACATCTGCTCTTATATCAGCTTGTGCTTCACAAATGCAGGGCATGATTGGATCTCGCAGTGTTCCACCTGTCAAATAAAATAACTGTTTTTAAATTTTTATAAATTATTAAATTTAGAAAAATAATTTTTTTATTTTTCATTTTTCTTTAACTATTAACTATTTAATTATTTTTTGACTATTATAAGAAAAATATTAAACCTTTCGATAAAAATTAAACGAAAAATATTAAACCTTTCAATAATACTGATAAAATTATTCATTTAAAATGAATTAAAGATAGAACAAAATAATAAGATGATGAATCTCACCAACACAAGCAGCTCTTTGCGTCCTTCTAATTATTGTACCAAGATTATCATAATCTGCTGTAAAAACATGTTCATCATCAGGATCAGAAGCAATATCATTCAACTGTTTTCTATCAATTTGATTTCCGATTCCAACTGCTATTATTTTTACACCCATATCCCGCAATGCTCGAGATGGTTCTGTAACATCATCACTAGATGGACCATCCGTCATAAGAATTAAAACATCAAGAGCATCTGATCGATGGCCTTTATCAAAAAGACCTTCTTTAGCTAAAGAAAGTGCCTGTCCAGTATATTTACCTGTGTGAGGTTTAACTCGAACAGCATCTCTAGCTTCTGTTAAAGTGTCTGGGTCATTAAAATGATGAAAATTAAGCATAATCTGAGCGTCTGTAGCATAAGTCACCAAACCAAGATGAGAATTTTCTTGATCAACTTTAAAAGCTGAAGCTACACGACGTCCAAATTCCATTGTCTCTGCCATTTTATCTTTACCATTTTGTTCTGAACCAGCAGAAGCATCAATAACAAATGCAAGATCAAGCTTGGAGGAGCAAACTTGAAATAAAAAAAAGCAAGATAATAAAATTATAAAAAAAAGTGTTACAGAATTAAAAAAAATCAAGAAATAACTCGTAACTCGTAACTGCAAACTCATTTTTCTTGGTAATCAAAAAAAATTTTCTCTTTAATCTTCTTTTTCTTGGTAATCAAAAAAACAACTTTTTTTTTGTTACTCTGAATATTACATAGATTACTAGAGTTAAAGAATATCTTTTGTTCTAACAAGACCTACACAACATTTCAACAAGACTGCTCTAACAAGACTTACATTACTTTTTTTATTTTCCAGGAATGCTTAAGAATTTATCAAAGCTAAATCTTACATTTGTTATATTGTTAGATTCAATGACTCATTGCTAAAACTATTTATTGAATTAGCATCTTTTGGAACAACATTTCTATTTTTCTTATATACTTATAAAATGTGGAACAATGCTAGATCTGGCTAAATGAAGTTAGTTGTTTGTACTTTATTAGAAAAAGAAGCTTTTCAAAGCATTTAGTCATGTAAAAATCTAATGTTTGGTATTATTTTTTTATCATTAAAATTTTTTTTTTTTTAATTATAGTGCATAGAGGAGTATTTGACTTTATGAAAGTCCCAGAAATTTCTTTTTATGAAAATTCTGGAAAATTATTTTAATAAAAATTGATTGTATTAACAGACAACAAAAACTTTCATAAAATTTTAAAACGGAATTTAGATTATTTAACTTTTTACAAAAAAGAATTTCTAATATACGAAAAAGATAATTTGAATGAATTAAAAAGCAAAAAAGAAAAAAAATTGTTACAAAAATTTATCTCATGAAAATTTTAATGATAGAAAACTTATTTGTTTAAATGCAATAGTTGTCGTATTTAAAATTTTATGTAAAAATATATCATTTTTTTTTTAATTAATAAAAAAAAACATCCGGAAATTTCTGGAAAATTAAAGGACTTTTAAGTGAATTTCCGGAGTTCCGAGAATTACCGGAAAAAACTCATCTATGATAGTGATTTTAAATTTTAATCAATTATAACAATAGTAAAACATGTAAAGTATTTAAAAAAAAAACTTTTAAATTTCAAAAGATAAGAGAAATATCTATTTTTTGTTTTACTTTCAAAAATTTTGTTAAAAAGTATTCTCAAGAAAAATACTTTCCTACAAACACTAAAATACTTTATTAAAAATATAAAAAATAAAGTAACTTGAAAATAAAAAAGATTAACAGGGAGATGAACAATAAGAGAAATAAATAATTCTAACTTACAGTAACAGTAAGTAGTAACAGGGAGATAAACAATAAATAATTAAATAATAAATAATTAATTCTAACTTTTGTCAGGACAAATGCATGGTGGTTTTGATCCTTTAGAAACAAGTGCTCCAAGAGGAAAAAACCTAGAGTGTGTTTGGCCAACCTCACTCTTGGTAGGTTCATCATCTTTTACAAAATTTACCACAGTATCATTCTTTACAACTGGTTTTTCATACTTTCCTGGAGGTGCTTTTTCTGAGATAGCACTCTTAAAAAGTTCTGTAACAGCTTTGAGTGAGTCAACAGCTTTTGCAGCAGCCTTGTCTGCAATTTTATCAGCAGCTTTGTCAACAATTTTTTCAGTTGTCTTTTCTTTTTCTTCATTTTCTTCTTTTGGATCGGTTTCTTTTTTCTTTGCTTCACTCTCCTTCTAAAGTTAAAAAAAAATTAATTAGTAGACATTTAAAAACATTATTAGTAAACATTTAAAAATCTTATTTTTATTTAGTTTTTTAACTTTTACTCTTCAAGTGAGCTGAAAAACAATTTATAAAAATAATTTATAAAACCCACAAAAGTAATTCATTAAATTAATATTAATATAATTTGGCAGCATTATAAATAATACTATTTGTGTTGTTTGTTTTTTTGAATTTTTTATTTTTGCTAACAATTGTTTTCCTTTTGATATTTTGTTTGTATTTTTTCTTTATATTTTGAGCATTTTTGAAGTAAGCTTAACTTACGACCATTGTATACAATTGTCATAAGTTGTTGACAAAACGTTCAGATTTCAGTTGGACCTTTAAAAGATGCCTTAACCTGAGGGCTAAAATTCCATTTTACACTTAAAAGACAATCAACCATCAATAAAATATTTAAAAACAAATCTTTCACTAATCCAAATTTAATTTCCAAATGTAAGACAGGTGAACAAGCACAAATAATGTTTGGTTAATCAAATACCTCTCTCTTGCACTGTGATCAATGAACCAAAACTAACGTAATGTAAAAGCATCAAACTTTGGTAAAAAACCTTCTGCAACTTTAGCATTGAATTTCTCATTTCTTCTCTTGAATTATCCAAAACCAACTAGATAACATTGCCAAAATGAAACTTCTTTGATATCAACTTTAAAGGTTTCAGGGATGTTGCAATTTAATTTCAATCCTGACACTGCACTAATTAGTTCTAACTATTTTTGATGATTACATTGTGAAACTGGAAGTTAATAAATGGTTTACTATAAGTAAGGTTTGAAATAATGAAAAAAAAAAAAAAACTTTGATATTTCCTTCTTTAAAACAACTTCTTTCCAATTTTCTGGCCAAAATTTCTAATTTCAAATGTCAATTACTAATGACTATTTCTAAGGATCTGTAAAAACTCTATAGCGAAATCAAGCAAGCTTAGATTTATTGAACTTCTTGATATGAGCCCCCAATGGAGTTTAGAGCTTAGTCTGTTGATTAGAGTTTTAAACCATTTTCTACAACTCCCTCGAACACACATATTTGTATTTGAATGATTAGTTTCACTCCACATGCAGCAGCCATTTTATGTGGACATTGGAAATGAGTGCAGGAAGTATTTGAAAATATAAATGTGAAAGTTTGGATAGATTTGCCCATAATCATTCTTTTTCTCCAGCTATTTACTTCATTCATATGCTAAGAAAGTTCTATCAGTGCCTTTTTTAGCAAATTCCTAAATGATGGTGATGCTGATAAAATTGAGCAGTTTAAAGTCTTATGTTTACAACTTCTGGACATTACTACCATTCCAAAACTCTAAAATAATATCATTTGCCACACTGGACAATTCATCTAATGTCAAATAGTTCTTTAAGAACTTATTCAGAGTAAGCAATTAAAGCACTCCATTATTTTTTTAGCGCCCAAAGGCAAACATAAAAGAGACCAAGCAACCACCCAGAGTATGAAGACAGGCTGCAAAAACGCATATGACTGACTATAAATATGCATAAAACAGGCTTCAAAAATTCATCACAGAATACTTCATTAGGAACATAGCAAAAAAAAAAAAACTTGAGCAAGTTCATCAAGAATAAATAAAAAGATAAAATTATAAAACTAAGATTAAACAAAATAGTTTATTTTTTATTGAATTTACTTCAAGTAATACTGTTAGTAAGTTTTTATTGAATTTATTTCAAGTAATACTGTTAGTAAAATACAGCTTTCAATGATATTTTTATTGGTCTTGTTTCATTATTCCATCTTTAATGTACAATCAACTAAGACTTTCCCAACTGTAACCAATCAAAACATGACTTTAAAAGGATGCTTGATTGTCTTCCAATGAAAAATTCTATGAATAATATTTATAGAACTTTTCATTGGAAACCCTTTTGACATATCAAGACTTTTGAGCCTTTTAACAAAATTTGAGTTTTTTTATTTTTGAGTTAATAAACAAAATACAAAGATTAAAATTTAGTAAAAACACTTTTTTTTGTATTAAAACTAATTGCCAATTTTTATTCATCAACATTTAAATTAGAGTATTTCTAAGCACTAGGCATTCCAGACATCTATTTCTCTAAGCATAAGCAACAAGCAAGTTTATTGTATTGGCTTTCTGCTTCTAATGCCTAAGCTGTGCGAATGTTGAATCTTGATTTTTGCTATATTTAATCCCACCTCATTAAGGGGATGATAAATTGACATCATTTATTAGAGATATTTACTGAACTCTTTAATTCTTTGTTAAAAAATATTGATAATTATGATAATTATTAAAATATGATAATTATTAAATATTGATAATTATGTCAATTTAGTGCTAATTGATAAATTTCGATGATTTGGATATTAATGTAGAGGTAATTTTGTATTTTGCATTTGGATTTTGATAACTAAACATACCGATTCAAACCACTTGAAAAAAAGACAAAGAAAACCTGAATAGATAAAAAAAACGAAATAGTTGAAAATCCTATCAGCTATGAAAATTCAAATTTCCATATTGCTAAAGCATCTAAATTAAATCATTTGAATGTTGGTTCTAAACAATAGTGTAAATGTGGATACTGTTGAATTATGTCAATTGAAAAAGAATGTCTTTTTTGTGTTGAAATATAGGAAGTAAATATTGCCACAGGCAATATTAACTTCCTATATTTCTACACAAAATGTTTGTTATAATAATAACAAACATAAACTTTTTTAACATTATGACTGTGTAAAGTAAAAAAAAGTTTTTTTTTTAAAGATCAGAAATATATAACAGAGCATAGAAGTTTTGTGACTGGTTGCCACTAAATAGTATTCATTTAAGCTGTATCTCTTAATATTACTTCTTGTGCAATCCACTTTGTTAACTTTCCTAAAAGTATATAAGTGCACTTTGCCTTAAATGGGACAAGATAAGGTGTTAAATGGGACAAGAATGGGTGGCTAAGCGGTAGTATGTCCTCTCAAATGTTGCAACAGAAAAAAGCTTTGATACAGAGGTAGAGATGGGTTTTTAGGTGGGTTTTTAGGTACTTGCTTTAAGGATAATAACCCAACCCCTAGACCCTCATTCCTAGAAACCCCCAAGATGGGGGTTTCTAGGAATGAGCATTAAAACATTTGAAAAATCATATACCAGAATATTAAATCTTTATAAGGGTCAATACTATATCCATTTTCTGACAAGAATCTGGTATTATACTACATAACTTACAAATTTATTCAATGCTGATATATTTTTATACTCTTTCTTTAAGTAATTCTGTGTGCACTTTTTCTTATTATATTATGTGTTTGTTTTCGTTGTTTGTTTTTATACTGTTATATTTATGGTTGTTGTTATGCTTAATGTCTAATAAAGTATTATTTATTATTATTTATGTCTAATAAACTTTTGTTATTATAATATGTGTTTGTTTTTATACTGTTATATTTATGGTTGTTGTTATGCTTTATGTCTAATAAATTGAGGAATTTTGTAATATTATGTTAATTGGTTTATCACATTATCCTTACCACAACGATGGCAATTTTTTTTCTGATCATAATTTTTTTCTGCAATATTTTTTCAACTTATAATTTTTTTCTGCAACTTTTTTTCAATTCATAATTTTTTTCTCCAAAATTTGTTGATAATACTTCGATAATAGATTAAACAGTTAAACAACTTTTTTTCAGATTTCAAATTTTTCTGCCTAATTTATCTATTTATTAATCTAGATTATTACTGAAACACATGAAAATGTTCTGCTGTTTCTTCTCTGGTAAATGGGAAGTTTTGGTTGAAAGTGTAATACCTACACTTCTTATGTATCAAATTTACTACAGGTTTGAACCGCTCAAATTAAGCATTAACTAATTTTAAACTAAAGAATTGGACTACACTGTATCAATTAAGTATAACTAAATAAAAACTAAACCTAAAAACCAAATATTTCCACTAAACTGTGTAAATTAAATTAAAAGTAAAACAAATGTTTCCAATAAACCATGTAAATTTAATTTAATTATATATAAGCTAAATATAAAATGAACAGCTGCACCAAACCGTAAATACTTAATTTAAATATATAAACAAAAGCTTATAAACTAACAATTATAAATTTTTTTTTTATTAATACTTAAATTATTAAAGTATTAGTAAAAAAAAAAGTATAACGTATAATAATGTAATAATGTAATAATGTAATTGGTTTTTTAATAATAAGTATAAAAGTAAAACGTATAATATAAGTATATGTATATAAAAAAAGTTCGTATAACTAGTACACTAAAATTCAATTTTTTTCTCTCAAGTGTTTATGGCTAAATATGTTCCACTAGTGACTAGACTTACTTGTTTGAGCATAAACTAAAACTACAAAGTTAGTTTTTCTTAGTATACGTTTATTATTTTGTTTTACTCAAAAAAAATCCAGCTTAAAAATTTTTTTTTAAACATTCTAATATGAATACAACTTGTCCTTGCACTTTTGGATCACTTTAAACATGCTGGTAACTTGTCGTTGCGCTTTTGGATCCCTTTAAACATGCTGATAATTGCCGAAAGTAGCAAATTTATATTTTCTTTAATTTCTTAGTTGTTCTTTTTTTGACTGCATTTGTCTTGCCTTTAAACATCTAATGAGAGACTAAATTTTAATTTTTTTTTTATTTTTTTTATTTCTAGTTCCTGTGAAATTGTTACCACCATAAAATAGTTTTATAAGGTGGAGTAATATTTTGATCTGTATGTACATATGTATGTATGAATATATATATATATATATATATATATATATATATATATATATATATATATATATATATATATATATATATATATATATATATATTATATCATATATATATATATATATATATATATATATATATATATATATATATATACATATATATATATATATATATATATATATATATATATATATATATATATATATATATGTATAT